TGGGCAAAGAAGTCTGACGTGGAATGATGGGCTGATGTACCAGTCGATCCGTAACAGTAGATGGGCGGATACTTGTGTAATCATGTGGCTCATTTTGAATGGCCCACAGTAGCCCGGTCGTAATTTTGGTACGACGGGCAGTCTTAAGTTCTCTGTGTCCAGCAGTACGTAATCTCCTTACTGGTACGTGACGGGGCGGCGGTGGCGGTCAGCGTTGCGCTTAGCGATGACATTTGCTTTTTTAATTGCTTCGGCAGCTCTGGTACGGGCAGCTTGCAAAATCTCGGCGAATTGCTGTGCACGTGGCGTTGGGTTGTCCGGACTCGGCGTCATGGGCACTGTAGGGTTTTGCCCGTAGTTCAAATAGAATGGGGATTGCTGCGTCGTCGCTGACGTGGCGTTGTTGTACGTGAACTCGATCAGCGGCAGCTGCTGCTCCCAAGTTGTCGGGTCGTCGCACATGGCACGAATCAACTGCTCCATCGTCTGATTCGCCCACTCCGTTTGACCGTCGGTCTCGGGGTGGTACGACGAGCTGAACTGTAGCCTGGTCCCGAACTGCTCCCAAAGATTCTTCCAGAAGTTGCTGGTGAACTTCGTGTCGCGGTCGCTGATTATCGCGGTTGGTATCCCGTGCAGTCGAATGACGGCTGCGATGAACAGGCGAGCGGTTTCTTTGGCTGAGATCGATTTCTTGCACGCAGTCAAGTATGCCATCTTCGTCAACCTATCAACGACAACCATAACTGCGTCGTTACCCCCAGGGTTCAAAGATAACCCTGCAAAATCCATGGTAACCTGCTGCCAGGCGCGCTCAGGCGGTGGAATCGGCTGCAATTGACCAGCCTTTCTTTTTCGTGAGCTCTTCATCACCTAAAACGTAGGACACAAGCCCACATAATCCTGTACGTCGGTCAACAACTCCGGCCAGTAGTAATACTGCTGCAGCTGCTGTCGCGTTTTTTCTACCCCAAAATGTCCCGAGGTAATTCCGTCGTGTGCCTCTTGCAGTAACAGTTCCCTCAGTAGTGAGTACGCGGGTACCCAGATGCGGTTGGTGCATGTTTTACGTAATAGACTCCTTTAGCTTCTGCCAGTTGCTGTGAATTTCCGGTTGTGAAAAGTGGGTCGGTACTGTATCCGTGGGTGAATAGGCCTGTTGGCAGTGGGTTGGTTTGGGCGAGTAGGATAGCGTGGAGTTGGGCGGTGGGGCATGTGAGTGCGTCGGCGATGTTGGATGCGCCTTTTTTGTACATGACCGTATAGTGGAAATTGGACTCCAGATAGTCCAACAAGCGGATCTGTCGCGGATTGAGATTCGGTTGGGTGCGAAGGTACTGTAGTGATCGGTGGTCTGTCCGTACTGTCGTGTCTGCTCCCGTGAGGTAACATCGCCACACCTTGAACGCGTGCACGATCGCCAGCATCTCGCGGTCGTGTATCGGGTAGTTGCGTTCGGGTGGGTGAAGCTTGCGGGACTCGTATGCGATTGGCTGGAGGCCGTTCCTGAAGTCCTGCAACAACACTGCTCCCACAGCGATGTCGCTAGCGTTGGTGGCGAGCTCGAACGGACGGTGCGGATCTGCGATGTGAAGCACGGGCGGCGAGCACAAATTTTTTTTTGAGGGCCGAGAAGGCAGCTTGCTCTTTCTCCCCCCACGTGTACTCAACCCCCTTCCTCAGCAGGTCGGTCAACGGGGCAGTCAACTTCGCCATGTCGGGGACGAACCGGCGCACGTTGTTGACGAACACCAAAAAACTCTGCAACTCAGTCAGATTTGTCGGCGCGTGCCACGCTTGAATCGTCGCGATATTTTTCGGGTCTATTTCCACTCCTTTAGCTGAAATGATGTGTCCCAAAAACTCCAGTCTGTCCTGTAAAAACTCACACTTAGAAGCTTTAGTCAGTAGGCGGTTCTCACTCTGTATTTTAAAAACTGCTTCGATGTCCTGTATGTGTTGTGTTCTGTATGGGCTGTAAATAAGTATGTCGTCTAAGTAGACGATGACGCACTTAGTTCATGGTCATTTGGAAAGCTTAGAGTGGGCGGAAGGCTTCGTTCATGGTCATTTGGAAAGTGGCGGGGGCGTTGGTTAGTCTGAAGGGCATGAAAGTGTATTCAAAGGATCCGTAGCGTGTTCGAAAAGCTGTTTTCGGGCAGTCGGGTGGGTTGACGCGAATCTGGTGGTAACCCCCTCTAAGGTCGATTTTCGAGAAAACCCGGGCTGTGCGCAGTTGGTCGATCAGTTCGTCGGCTCGCGGGATGGGGTAACGGGATTTGATAGTAACCCTGTTCAGTGCCTTGTAGTCTATGCACATGCGAAAACCCCCGTCCTTTTTTGGTGTGAACATATCGGTGCTGTGAAGGGTGACGAACTCGGGCGAATGAACTCTTTCTCGAGCAGGTAATCCAGCGGCTTCCTTATTTCGTCCAGTTCGGGTTGGGTCAGTCGGAACTGTCGCTGTACTGTCGGCTGTGCCCCCGGTTCTAACTCTATCCTGTGGTCGTGCGGTCGCTGAGGTGGCAGTCCCGTTGGCAGGTCATCCGGAAATATCCCACTGTACTGCTTCAGGAGTGCTGCCAAGTCATCCGGTATGTCAGCTAGCAGTTTCTGTAAATCCCCCCCTTTGTCTGCTGCCTCGGCTTCCCGAACGTCGACCGCGTACACGTCAGCTTCTGCCGCTACGGCGTGTTTCATCGTGATTGCGTTGTCACGCACGGACGAAGACTCAGGCGAGCCCCAGCGAGGTAAGGCAATGTTGTTACCGTTCACTCGCACGGTGCAGTCTCCCGTCGTCCAGTCGATTCGCGGATTGTATCGTTGCAGCCAATCACGACCGAGTAAAATGTCGGTTCCGTCGAGGGTTGTCGCGAGCATTTCCTGGCTAAACGTGAAGTTACCCCCGCATCGAATCCGAACCCGGTCCACGCGTTCCCGTATCGCCAGTGCCGTGCCGTCAACCCGTCTTGTGTCGATCTCAGGTAAGCATCTGTCCAGTGGCAGTTTCAGCTTCCGTGCTGTGGCAGTGTTGATGAGGCTGTGGGTGGCTCCCCCGTCTACGAAGATTTTAACTAAGTCTGTCCCTATCTTCCCACTAAGCAATATGGGGCGGTCTACCGCGGTACCCTCCTTATTCGGCCGGGTGTGGTTGATTGCGTGAACCGGCACAATCACTCGGTGAGGGTCGGTTGGGTCGGGCGAGCGGCATGACCTGTCAGTAGAGGGCCCGTCTGCTATTGACTCCTAGCGTTTCCCTGCTGCTTGGTCTGTTTCCGCTGCTCAGCTTCCCCCTTTCCCTTAGCGTTTTCCGGGCATTCGCTCTTGCGGTGTCCCGCCCGATTGCACGCGAAGCAGCGCCCTTGAACGGTGAGGCAGCGGCATTCGCGGGGACGGCACGTATCGTAGCGCCCTCGTTCGTCCCACGAGACCGATGTCCCTATTTACTGCTCCCGTAGGACCCCGGTCTCGGTCGGCGGAAAAAGTCGAGCTTCTCCGCCATGGCGAGAATCTCCTGAAAATCAGTGACGCCGCGAAGCTGGATTTCCTGAGCGCTTTCGTGCTTCAGGTCGCCGATGTAGCGGTCGATGCGTTCGCTCTCGTGCATATAACCCACTTGCTCGCATGGCGCCAGAAACGCGCTGGTGTAATGTTTAACGGAACCGAGTTGGCGCCAAGTGCGGAGCTTCTGTTGCGCCGCGATCGAAGCCGCAGTTCGCTCAAATCAAGCGCGTAGACCTGCGCACCACGCATCCCACGTGCGATATTGGGGCACCTCCACGAAATACGACGGCGCACAAGGTCCGGTTTGTCCTTCCCGTGTCGGTAGAGTCGCGTAGTCCATCGGCTTTGTGACGGCGCCACCAGTCCATGGCGGCGTAGCGAATCTTCGCCGTATCCTCCGAGATGTAGTTGGCGTCGAAGAAGATGTTCAACGTTAACAACTACGCCTGAACGGTAGGACCACTCCGTTGACTCGGGTCGCGGACGCTGCGGCTTCAGCGGCATCGGCGACGGTATTGCTGATTCGCCGGCCGACACAGAAATCGTGACGCGAGGTTGACTCCTGGCTGCATTCGTCGCTTCGGGGTGTGTCGTGTCGTGGTCGTCGTCTCCGTCGTGGCGGACGACGCCATCACTGGCCGCGCTCGCGGGTTGCCCCATACTTCTGCGTTGCGGGCTGTACCGTAGTGCCAGGTGCTTGTGATTGCGCTTGTTGTGCTTGTGCGACGTCGTTCTGCAGGGAAGTGCGTTCCGCCGTCAGTGCCGCGATTTCTTCAGAGTTTTCGTGCAGTTGTCGCAGCAGCTCGTTCAGGCGGTCCTGCGTAAGTGTCGTGACGTGGATGTGTTCGGCCATTACGAATGGCGTCGGCTCGACTTAGTCTAGGCGCAATCGTGGCTGCACGCTTTTCGAGAGAACGCGAGGACAGCGACTCCTAGGAGCTAAGGTGCGTGAGTCCCTTCGAGAGAAAAATCAAAAGTTGATTTTCTGGGGTGCGGAGATGCGCGGTCCGAAAAGAAAGAGGATCTGATAACCAAGTGTTACGGGTGCAATGATTCGAGGTAGCGAGGATTGCACTAAGTGTCAAACGAGTACAAAATGTGAGCGAAGGCATGAGCGAACATTTATACGCGAAACATGCAAACGGTAACGCGGTGCGTGCGAGCTAGCTAGTGCTAGGCTGGCATCGAGGCTTGGGCTAGTCCGGAAGCGTAGGCCGACACGGCCGGGCCAGCGGTGCATGGTTTGGTGGAACAGGGCACGCGAAGTCGGCGAAGCCCCGTTAGCTGTAACGGGCGAACAACGGCTGCTGATGTACGCGATGTTGCAGGATGCGCTAAGGAATGTCAACTTACACTGTTCCAGTATCACAAGCAGGTGTGCCAACTTACTACCACATACCTCATTCTCCCCTCTACTCACACAACTAAATTGCAACTTGATAGCATGCAAGCAACTCATACCCCCCAGTCACCAGCTACCCTTTCTCAGCCCCCAGCTACTTATCCTCGATCTTATTATTCCCAACAACTCCAAGTGGATCACCAGCCAAACCAGGCACCGAAGCAATCTCCCCAGGCGCAGCTTCGGCCGGATCAGCTGCAGCCGAACCAGTGCGGTCCGAGCCACCAGCACCGTGACCAGCACCGGGGGGAGCAGCACGAGCAGCAGTGAGGGAGGGGAGCACGCAGGTTCGGTGAAGGCGGGATGCCACGGATCGCAGCACTTTCTTCTTGTGACGGCGGTACCTCACCAGCACCATTCTCTCCTCCACCACTTGTAAGATTGGCACACACCATGCATGAAACACCTCCCTTTCCCTCGCCTCTTTGCCCTCTTCTCTGTCCTCTACTTTGTCCCCCTTTCCCTCTCGTCCCTTTTCCTCGACCTTCCTATCCTCCCTTTTCTCCCTCTCCTCCTCCTTGCCAGATATCAAACCCTCCCCGGATAAGCCCGTCCCAGCTGTTTCTTGTCCTGCCGAGCCTTCCGCCGAGCCTTTGCCCCAGGCTTGGCAGGACTGAAGCTTCCGAAGCACAGCGTCGTCCTCTTCCATGGTGGTGGGGTACCGCGCCAGCCGGTACTCCGCTAGAAGACGAATGGTGTCGGCCGCAGCGACCACGGCCGGCATGAGGGTGGAGTAGTTTGGCAGGAGGTGCAGGCAGGTCCTGTTGTTGGAAGAGACGCCCCAACCGTACAGCACACAGCCCAGCGCTAGTTGAGAATAGTTGGGCTCTGGTGGAGGGTGGGGGGGGGAAGGGGTTCGGGGGAGGGGAGGATGGCAGGACGTGCATGCAGGTTTGATTGGCAGACACGTCCCAGCCGTACAGCACAGAGCCCAGCGCCAGCTGAGAATAGTTGGGCTCTGGTGGGGAAAAAAGGGAGGGGGGTATGGAGGGATGGGGAAAAGGCAAATTGAGTGGCAGGAGGTGCCAGGGGGACCTGTTGTTGGAAGAGACGCCCCAACCGTACAGCACACAGCCCAGCGCTAGTTAAGAAAAGTTGGGCTCTGGTGGGGAAAAGGGGGAAGGTGAGGGGTGGGAAGGGAGAGGAGATTTTGGGCAGGAAGTGCAGGCAGGTCCTGTTGTTGGCAGATATGCCCCAGCCGTACAGCACAGAGCCCAGCGCCAATTGTGCGTAGTTGGGCTCTGGTGTTGGAATGGGGGTGGAGAGGACGGGGAAAGAAAAAGGCGAATTGGGTGGCAGGAGGTGCCAGCAGGTCCTGTTGTTGGAAGAAACGCCCCAACCGTACAACACAGAGCCCAGCACTCTTGACCAGGCACACTCACCTTGCTCGTAGTGCATGACGTGCCACACGGCTGCTAGTGACGCCAGGAGAGTGAGCTCCACTATCCCGTACGCCCACACTCTTTAGAAGCCAAAAACACCGTAGTGTTCTAAGAGCAGTGCACGGAACCTAGTGTAAGCAGAGAACACTCTCGCCCACGTACGCACCTTGCTCGTAGTGCACGACGTGCCACACGGCTGCTAGTGACGCCAGGAGAGTGGGCTCCACTATCCCGTACGCCCACACCGCCACCTCCTGCTCTTCCGCCATCCTCTCCTTCTCATCTTTCTTCCTCCCCTCTCCCTCCTCCTCCTCCTCCTCCCTGTCGTCCCCACCCTCTCCCTCCACACCACCCCCCCCACGCCCACCGTCAGAACCAGCAACACCAGAAGCACCACCACCACCACTGCTCCCAGAGGCTCCCTTCCTTTGTTGAGACGTCTCAAAACCTGTCCTTCTCCTCTCCCCCTTGCGCCTGCCCACTCGCTTCCACGCGTCCTCGTTCACGCGCTGCTTGAGGTTATACTGGGGCATCTTGAGCGCCTCAGTGTAGTTCCCATCCTCTCCCTCCGCCACCACCGCTGCCACTGCCTTGGCTGCCACCCGCAACAGGTCGCGGTAGAGAGCCTTGCCTGATGAGCCTGATGGGGTCCATCTGCTGCTGGGAGTTGAGACGTGCGGGGTGCTGCTGCTGCTGCTGCTGCTGCCGCTGCCACTGCTGCTGCTGCTGCCGCTGCCACTGCTGCTGCTGCCACTGCTGCCGTCAGCAGCACTGGTAGTGGTGCTGGTGCTGGTGCTGGTGATGGTGCTGCTGTCGCCACCACTGCTACTGGTGCTGGTGCTGCCCCCACCCTCACTGCTACCGCCACCAATGCTGCTGCCACTGCTGCCACCATCCACACTGCTACCATCACCATCATCAGCTGCCTGTGTGGCTGGCGGCTCTTCAGTCAGCCAGATCTCCTCCAGAGCCCTCTTCAGCTCCACTTCCCCCGGATACACCTCCCTCCCCTTTTTCTTCTCCCCTCCTCCCCCAATCTCCTCCAAATCCCTCGCCCCTTCACTAGCTAGCACGCCTGAAACCACACCACCTCCACCCTCCCCTTCTTTCCCCCTCTCATCCCCTCTCTTCCCCCCCGTTCCTCGCCCACCCTCACTGCCCCCATTGGCCAGCAGCGCCGCCAGCACGCCCACAGCCTCAGTGAGGTTGTCAAAGAGAGGCGCGCCATCGAAGGGGTTGGCATCGAGAACGAAGCCGTAGGTGGCGAGCAGCTGGTCGTTGGTCTTGGGACCGTACGACGTGGCGAGCTCCGTCCCTGCTGAGACATTGACCATGGCTATGTACTCAAAGTGGTGTGTGATCTGGAGGAGGGGGAAGAAAGCAAGGGAGCGAGGGCGGGATGGGGTAATGGAGGGAGAGAGGGTGAGAGATTCAGGGCACAAAGGGACAGAATCGGGTTCTCAAAGAGAGGGGCGCCATCGAAGGGGTTGGCATCGAGAACAAAGCCGCAGGTGCGAAGAAGCTGGTCATTGGTCTTGGGACCGTACGACGTGGCGAGCTCCGTCCCTGCTGAGACATTGACCATGGCTATGTACTCAAAGTGGTGTGTGATCTGCAAGGGGGGAGACGGTGAGAGGGAGGGAGGGAGGGATTGAAGGAGGGAGGGAGCGAGGAGAGGAGGGTGTGATGATGCATTCACCAATTCACCACCGACCAACCAACCACCACCACCACCAACCAACCACCACCACCAACAACCACTCACTGGCAGCCGCCACCCACCAGCAGCTCGGCCGCAGTAATAAGCGCCATGCCGACGCCACGCACCACACGGCGGGACAACTCGTGCAGCACCCCCACCGCCTCATTCACCGCCTCCACCAGCTGTCCCGGTGCACGAGAGGCACCCTAACAATCAGCCATTAACTGTCACCCACTCACTGTCAGCCCCCGCTCCCCACCAGCCACCCTTCAGTGAGAGCCCTCACTTACGTTGTACTGAATGGAGGAGTTGATTTGGTGGTCCAGCAATTCAGCCGCAGTGATGAGTGCCATACCCACCCCACGCACCACACGGCGGGGCGACTTGTGCAACCTTACCGTCTCACTGACCACCTCCACCAACTCGCCCGGTGCGAGCCCGAAACCCTAGCAGTCAGCCATTCACCCACTCACGAGCAGGCCCCCCTCAATGTGAGCCCCCACCCACTGCCAGCCTGCACTTCCTGCACCCACCACCGCCACGTGCACTCACGTTATACTGAATGGAGGAGTTGATTTGGTGGTCCAGCAGCTCGGCTGCAGTAATAAGCGCCATGCCCACGCCACGCACCACACGGCGGGGTGATTCGTGCAGCACCCCCACCGCCTCGTTCACCGCCTCCACCAACTCGCCCGGTGCGTTCGCCATCGCCCTCCGCCGCTTCTCCCTCGCCCTCCTCCTCTTCTCCTTCTCACCCCCCTCACTCTGGTCGTATCTCCCCGTTTTGCCCGACTCCCCTGCGACAGCAACTTCAAGGTCCAGGCCAGAGAGCTCCTTGAAGGGCACGGAGAAGGCGCGCGAGTCGAGGATGGAGTGCGCCCACATGTAGTCGTCGAATGACGCAAACGCCATGGCGGGTGGGCGCACCTGGTTGTACTCCATAAGCGCCACCTCCCTTTGTTGGTGGACCTGTGATTGGGGTCAGGATAAGGGAGAGGGATGGAGAGGGATGGAAAGAGATGGAGATAGATGGAAATATATGGATAGAGAAGGCCGGAGAGTCCCCTGCGACAGCAACTTCAAGGTCGAGGCTGGAGAGCTCCTTGAAGGGCACGGAGAAGGCGCGCGAGTCGAGGATGGAGTGCGCCCACATGTAGTCGTCGAATGATGCAAACGCCATGGCGGGTGGCCGCACTTGGTTGTACTCCATCAGGGCCACCTCCCTCTGCTGGTGGACCTGCGAGTGGGGTCAGGACAGGGGAGATGGATGGCGAGGGATGGAGAGGGATGGAGAGGGATGGAGATGGATGGAAAGAGATGGGGAGAGGAGGGCGGAGAGCCCCCTGTGGCGGCAACTTCAAGGTCGAGGCCGGAGATCTCCTTGACGGGCACAGAGAAGGCGAGCGAGTCCCCTGTGGCGGCTTCAGGTAGTCGTCGAATGATGCAAGCAAACGCCATGGTGGGAGGGCTCCATAAGTCGAATGGCGCACCTGGTTGTACTCCATAAGTGCCACCTCCCTCTGCTGGTGGACCTGTGATTGGGGTCAGGGATGGGAGAGGGATGGAGACGGATGGAGAGCGGTGCAGAGAGGGATGGAAGAGTGGTAGAGAGGAAGGGGCGGGCCGCGGGAGGGAGAGAGAAGGCCTGAGAGCCCCCTCTGGTGGCGGCTTGAAGGTCCCAGCCAGAGAGAGCTCCCTGATGGGGCATGGAGAAGGCGCACGATTTAGGGTTCCCGAATGGTGAAACGCCATGGCTGGTGGATGGAGAGAGATGAAGATGCTCATGTGGGGCCACAGCAGATTGGCGGCGTCATGGGCAATTTAGTGCTTTGGGGCTTCGGCAGATTGTCTCGAACGCGGTACCCTGGTACACACCTCCTCTTTGAAGATTTTTATTTTGCGAACCGATTCGAGAGCCAATTTTGAGAATCACGCACCAGCTGCTTCACGAAGGGTGACTGTGCCTCAACCAGGCTGTAGGGCAGTGGCACGCAGGGCGGTGGTGGGATGAGATGAGCCACCTGCCTCTTGAGAATTCCCAGTAACCAACCAGTGTCAAGGCAGCACGGCACGGCACGCACCTGTAGCTTGAGGAGGCCCTGAGCCTCTTCCAACGAGTCGTTGCGGAAGCGGGAGGGCAGCGGCACTCAGGGCGGCCGGATGTCAATGTATGGCCACCAGCAGCCTCTTGAGAATTCCCAATAACCAACCGAGTTAAGTCATAGCGGTGCATGCATACCAGTAGCTTGAGGAGGTCGGACTGAGCCTCGTCCAGGGAGTCGTTGCGGAAGCGGGAGGGCAGCGGCACGTAGGGCGGCAGGATGTCAATGTATGGCCACCACTCCGACTGCCTCCCCCTCGCCTTCTCCCGCAGCAGCCACGCCACCATGGCCACCTGGGTGTTCACCGGCCCTGTGAGGAGTGGCAGGGGAGGGAGGGGGAACGCACATATCTTGAGGCACTTCATAAGGCGCCGTGGCCACCTGGGTGCCCACCGGACCTGTGGCGAGTGGCAGGAACGGCAGATTAGAGGAGGCAGGCTCCTACACAAGGGTTCAAGCAAGCAAGGACAGAAGCACTTCCCCGCTGCAGCAGCCACGCCACCATGGCCATCTGGATGTTCATCCAGATGGCCATCTGGCCCTGGTGGGTGTGCCATGGAGGAGCGGAGGACGATTTTTGAGGCGCCTCAAAAATCATCTGGATGTCCCACTGGCCCTGGTGGGTGTACCATGGCGGAGCGGAGGGGGATTGAACATGGGGTTCGCAAGCAAGTAAGCACTTTTTCCCGCAGCAGCCACGCCACCATGACCACCTGGATGTCCACCGGGCCTGCGAGGAGTGAAAAAATGGAAGGGAGGAAGAGTAGGAGGAACGCACATGTGCTTTCGCACTCGTTTTATAGAAAGGGAAGGTGGTCAACAAGCCTACCCTCACCTTCTCCCGCAGCAGCCATGCCACCATGGCCACCTGGACGTCCACTGGCCCTGGTGTGCCAGGGGAGGGGAGGAGAAATGCACATGTTTGAAGCGCCTGTTTCACAAGGAAGGGAGGCGTGCCAGAGGGGAAACTGCTTTAAGTTCTCTCGCAGCAGCCACGCCACCATGGCCACCTGGATGTTCACCGGCCCTGGTGTGCCATGGGGAAACGGAATGGAGGGCGGAATGGTGAGCAGAACCTCCCCCCTGCGCCTCCCTCCCTCATTCCAGCATGACTGTCAGTTCAACGCGGTGCAATGTGCTGCAATGCGGTACCGTGCGGTGCAAAGGGGTACCTGTGTGGGGCGGCATCTCCTCTGCTGCGACCTCTGCTGTGATCCACAGCGACTGCGGAATGGTGAGCAGCACCTCCCCCTCGTGCACGTCCCGCCCCGCCACCATGCTCATCTGCCGCCTGGCGTGGCACGACATGGTAGGAGACAGAGAGTTGGAGAGATAATGGAAATCAGCTCCCCCTCCTGCACGCCAGAAATCAGAAATCAGCTCCCCCTCGTGCACGTCCCGCCCTGCCACCATGCTCATCTGCCGCCTAGCGTGACGTGAGGAGACAGGAGAGGCAGAGGGAAGCAAAGCGGGTGATTGATGGGAATAGCAGCAATGACAGGAATCAGAAGCGAGCAGCACCTCCCCCTCCTGCACGTCCCGCCCCGCCACCATGCTCATCTGCCGCCTGGCGGGCGTGGCACGACATGGCAGGAGACAGAGAGGTGGAGAGAGGTAAAGGAGGTGATGGACAGAGATAAGATGGAATGACAGTAATCGGAAACGGGCAGCACCTCTCCCTCGTGCATGTCCCTCCCCCCCACCATGCTCATCTGGCGCTTGCTGGGCATCCCAGGCAGGACCACAGTGGGACCACAGTGGCAGAATTCTTACTATAAATGTGTCACACTGCACACCTGACACATGGCAGCATCCTTAAGTGACATGTGACAGACTGCACACCTGACACGTGATGGAATGCTGACTGGAAATGTATCACGCCGCACACACTTGAACGTGGCAGAATGCTTAACCTCACGTGTGCCACACTGCACACCTTACACGTGGCAGGATGGTTACCTGACACGTGTCACACTGCCCACCTGACACGTGGCTTGGCAGAGGCGTTGGTGACAGCAGAGGGATCTGAGGTGTTAGTCAAGGAGGGTGCCACGTCACGATGGTCATAGAAATGAAACTGCCAATAAGGGGGATGACATAAGGGGAAGAGCGGGGAGGAAAGTTGAGGAAGGAGAAAGCGTGTCGCAACGAACAGTGAAGTGAAACTGCGGCGGGCTCAACCGAAAAAACACTTTCGTTGAGAGGAAGTGAGTTCTGAAACGGTGGCCTGGATATCCACACCAATAACATGGAACGCGCTACGAACATGTTCGAACATGGATGGAACTCGCCTCGAGTGGCTCACTCACCTTGAGAGGGGAGTCATCCGTGCCATACTCCTTGATGCCTCTCTGCTGCACCCACTTTATAAACGCCCTCAGCTTCCTCTCCTCATCATCCTCCACCTCCCCTGCCTCCCCTCCCTCCTCTTCCACCGCACCCTCTCCTCCTCCCTTCTTCTGCTCCGCCTCCCCTTCCCCTCCCTTCGCCTCCTTCCCTTCCCTCCCTTCCTCACCCTCCCCCTCGACACCCTCCCCCGCTCCCTCTCCCTCCCCTGCCGCCCAGCTCCTTGTTTCCCCCAGGTGCAGGTCGTAGCGCGGGTCGCAGGAGAGCAGCAGCCAATCAGAGGCCTCCACGAGCAGCTGCTTTTGGTTGAGGTGCCGCTGCACCACGTGCTCCACCTCCTCCAATCCCGTCATCATCCACGGCTCGCAGATCTACGTGAGGGGGATACAGGATAGTGGAGTGCAGGGGGGGAAGGGAAGGACATGATGGGAAGTTCAGCTGCTTGCTGTTGAGGTGGCGCTGCACCACGTGCTCCACCTCCTCCAACCCCGTCATCATCCACGGCTCGCAGATCTGATGGGAGGGATACATGTGTGAGAATGTACAAGGGGAATAGAGGAAGGGAGGGTGGTGGGGGTGCTTGAGGTGAGGTGCCGCTGCACCACGTGCTCTAATCCAGTCATCATCCACAGCTCACAGACCTTACAAAAGGGGGGATAGTGGGGAGAAGAAAGGCCAGAGGGAAAAAAATAGTTGCTTGGGACATGAGGTGCCGCTGCACTGCGTGCCACTACACACGCCTCCTCACACTCTTCCCCCCCGCATGAGGTGCTGCTGCACCGCGTGCTTCACCTCCTCTAATCCCATCGTCATCCATGGCTCGTATATGGGGAAGACCTTTGTGGGGAAGGGGGAAGAAGGCATGTATAGGAGAGAGTGTGTGCTGTAGTAGAGTGACATGGCGTCCCCCTGCACACTGAATCCTGGTTCTTAGCTAAGTGCGCCTCTTACCTCGCTCCCACCCCACCTCCCCAAACTCACTCCCAGCACCCTTCACCCACCCCCACCATATCACTCTCCTCTTCTCCAGCTGCTGCCCTCCCCCCTGCTGCCACACGCAGCATTTGGCACAAACACCCCTTTCTTCCCCCTTCCTCCTACCCAACACAAAGACCACTCACCTTGACGATCTTCTCTAGTTGCTTCACTCCAGCGCGCTGCTAACTTCAGCGCGCTGCTCCACGCGGCAAGGCCATGTACAAGAGCGCCATGGCATCCTCCTGCACCGAGTCCTGGTACTCGCTCACCCTTCTCCACCCCTCTCCACCCCTCCCCACCTCTCCCCACGCCTCACCTTGACGATCTTCTCGGGCTGCTTCACTCCAGCGCGCTGCCACACGCGGCAGAAGGGCACGTAATACAGCGACATGGCGTCCTCCTGCACCGAGCCCTGGTACTTAGCTAAGTGCGCCTCCACCAGCTCTCTAAGTGTGCTCGCCACCAGCCTCAGCACAGGCGTGAGGGCGGAGAGCAGGTGGTCCCGCTCTGGAAACTCGGCGAGGGAGATGTGGAGGGGGTTGGAGGAGTGGTTGGAGGAGGAGGATGATGAGGAGGATGAGGGGAAGGAGGAGGAGATGAGGGGCATGTGCGTGCATGTGGTTTTGCCGTCGAGGTTCCACGCATAGGCCACGCTCACTCGAGCAAAGAAGCTGTAGTGCGGCTCTGGTGGGAGAAAAGGGGACAGAAAGGGAAGAAAGGGCAAAAGGAGGTGCTGCAGTAACTGTAGCAGTTGCAACCCTCCTCTGTGCAAAAGGCAACTCTCACCCTCCCACGTGGCAATGCGACAAAAACGACACAGACTCACTCAACCTCCCTTGTTGCGGCAAAGAAGAGGGTGAGAAAAGCGAGGCATGGCAACGGCAGGCATGGCAACGGCACAGTATTTTTGAGAATTCTCAAAAATACTCTGCAACAAAGAAGAGGGTGAGAAAAGCGAGGCATGGCAACGGCACAGCACCACATCCAGGGGCTTTTGAGGATCCTGGATGCGGTGCTGACTTTTGTCTCGGGCTTTTGTCTCAAACCCAAGGCGTGCGTGACAATCGAGCCGACTCAAAGCTCAATTAGAGCTGGACTTTTGGAATTCTCAGAAACCCTTCCCCCTGGCTGAAACGACTCCCATCCTTCCTCCATGACAGAAATACTCACCTTCCTTTGTGGTGAAGAAATAGGTTAAGGCAGTGAGGTCAGCCACGATCTCGGGATTCATGAGACACATGCAGTGCCGGCCTATCCAGCCATGGCACATCCATCCCCCTTTGCCCCATCTCCCCCTCCCGTGTGCCTCAAATCTCACCTTCCTTAGTGGCAAAGAAGTAGGTGAAGGCAGTGAGGTAGGCCACCATCTCGGGATCCATGAGGCCCAGCGAGTGCACATGCAGCAGGAATGAGTAGGAGGCATTGCATTGCAGCAGAAACAGCAGCTCGAAGACTCGTCCCCGCCCTTGACACTCACCAACGCGTGGCAGTCACCACTCACCCTCCTTAGTGGCGAAGAAGTAGGTGAAGGCAGTGAGGTAGGCCACCATCTCGGGATCCATGAGTCCCAGTGAGTACACATGCAGCGCCGGCCCTTCCAACCATGACACATCCACCCCTCCCTGCCCCCCTTGCCCTCCCTGCCCCTCCTCCCCATCATCCCCATCCTCCCCTTCCCCACCTTCCTCCTCCCCGTCTTCTCCCCCCCCACTCCCCCCTTCGTTTCCTGCTCCTCCCCCTGGTTTCTTCTCCAACCCCATCCTCTCCCTCATCTCCCGCCTCATCTCCCACACTCTCACTTTCTCCACAATCTCCTCCCTCACTCCCAGCCTCTCCCTCTCCTCCCTGCTCCCCCACACCACCGCCTTAACCACCCTCCTCTTCACCCTCCGCACCGCCCGGAGAATCTTCGCGCCGATCTCCGCAATCTTGAGCTGGGATTCGATTGCGTCAGGATCAAAATCGGGCGGCACTTGCGTGGCAGCGGCTTGCAGGGCAGCAAGAGGGGAGTCGAAGAGGGGGAACTGGGCGAGGAAGAGCGACTTGGGGGCCACGCCAAAGTAGGTGAAGGCATCTGTATTAGAGAGAGGTGTGGCGTGGATCAGCGACGGCTGGGGAAGCCTCGGTGTCTTCAGTGACTCTCTCTTGTGCAGCTGCAGCTGTAGTTTCTCCTCCTTGCCCGCCTGTCCTGCTCCCTGCCACCTCTTGCTTCCCCTTGCCCAGCGCTGCTCTAAGTACCCTTCCTCCCCTGCATCACCCGTCTCCTCCTCCTCCTTTTCCTTTTCCTCCCCCTGCTGCTGCTGCTGCTGCTGCTTGTCTGTGTCCTCAGCCTGCTCTCCCTTCTGCCCTTCCTCCTCTTTGAACCTCCTCTGCCTCCTCGCCTTCATCCTCCTCTCTCTGGCCTTCTGCGCCTCTCTGAAATGACCCGACAGCCCGCCATCCAGAGGAAGCAGCAGAGGCGCATCGTTGGCAATGGGCTGTGTCGCAACCACGCGGATCCACCCCCCCACCACGTCCCACTGCACGTTCGGCGCATCAACTTCCGAATCAGCATCCCCATCCCCGTCCCCGTCCCCTACCCCATCCCCATCCCCGTCCCCGTCCCCTACCCCATCCCCATCCCCATCCCCATCCGCATCCCCATCCCCATCCCCATCCCCATCCGCATCCCCATTCCCATCGCCTCCCTTCTGCCCGCTCCCAGTCTCCGTGCCATTCGTCTCCCCTCCTTCACCATCCGCCAGCACTATATCTGCAACGGATCCTCTCCCTGCCCGCCCCAGCAGGTGCATGAGAGGCACAAACGCCAACTCATACCGCCCATCCTCCTCCCCCTTCCCCTCCCCTTCTCCTTCCCCCTCCCACTCCCCTGAGCACGTACGAGCACCAGAGGCATAGTCGCCAGCACCAGCACGGCACTGCCTTTCGCTGGGGGAGCTTGCAGCAGAGGGGTTGGTGGCATGGAGAGCGGCGGAGGGCAGGGGGATGGCAGAGACGAGGGCAGTGGTGACAGCACGGAGAAACTCCTCCTTGCTCACTGCACTCCCTGTAGCCCCTGTGGACCCCTCGTGATGGGGGGTGCTGGGCTTTGTCTTGCGGCGGGACTTATATGCTGGTGGCTTTTTCGAGCTGGTCTGCTGCCATGCGCTGTACTCGCCCTCGTATTGCTGCCTCAGTGCTTCTGCCTGGGTGGTGAGAGGGGGAGCGAGGCAGAGGGGAGAGGAGGGGGGAGGGCGAGGAGGAAGTGGGCCTTGTGCTGTACGCTTGGCGGCTTCTTGAGTGAGGCCTGCTGCCATGCCGTGTACTCGCCCTCGTACTGCTGCCTTCTGCCTGGGTGGTGGGAGACGAAATGGGAGGGGGCGCGGGTGGAAGGAAGGAGGCAGTGGGTGGTAGCTGCTTCTTGACTTTTGAGTCGACTCAAAAGTCACCTTGGAAGGAAGGAGGCAGTGCGTGGTAGCTGCTTCTTGACTTTTGAGTCGACTCAAAAGTCACCTTGGAAGGAAGGAGGCAGTGCGTGGTAGCTGCTTCTTGAGGCCGGCCCGCCACGCAGGGCCAGTCGTAAAATTTCTCAAAAGTGACTCAAAAAACATGAGATGGTCTGTCTTACATGTGACTTGCTTGCCCTTTCTTCCCCAACGCAGGTGTGGGGGAATGTCTGGGAAAAGGGAGGAAGGAGAATCGAGACAGATGGTTGAAAGGAGATGGACGTGTTGTGTGGATAATGGAGTGGGTGCGCATGAAGAACAAGAATGACACACTCATGCATGTCACTCACCTCCGCCACCTCAGGCTGCATGCCCAGCCCCCCGTGCAGCATGGGCAGTGCCTCGTGTGACACATGTATCCAGATAGAAAAGCGCGCACATATCCAATTCAACTGCTCATGCAGCTGCTGCCTGCACTCACCTCCGCCATCTCCGGCTGCATGCCCAGCCCCTCGTGCATCATGGGCAACGTGATTTAACGCGCATCTATCCAAGCACAATACCGCAACCATACGCATCTATCCGAGCACAATACCGCAACCATACGCATCCTGCGCACTCAGACCCTGCTTTGTCTCACCTCGGGCATCTCCGGCTGCATGCCCACCCCCTCGTGCATCATGGGCAGCGGGCGGCGCTGGCCCGCCTTCAGGTGAATCAGCAGGTGGAGGAATGGCGCCCAGGCAAGAGGCGAGGCGGCGTTGGAGGAAGGAGAGGAAGAGGAAGAGGAAGAGGAAGAGAAAGAGGAAGAGTGGAGGTGGGAGAGGGCGCAGACAGCAAGTGAGGCTTCAGCAGAGAGGGATGCGGGGAGGGATGGGGATGGGACCGAGAAGGGGGGAGAGGAGGCGCAGAGGGAGGAGGAGAAGGCGAGGTGCAGGGGGAGGGAGAAGAGCACTTGGCCGCGGCGAATGGGGCGGGTGGTAACCAGGGATGGCAGGAACCTGCATGGGAAGGAGGAGGGGTGAGATGGGAAGGCAATAGGGGAAGGCAGAATGAATGAGGTGCCTTGGGGTGCAGGGGGAGGGAAAAGAGCACTTGGCCGCAGCGAATGGGGCGGGTGGTAACCAGGGACGGCAGGAACCTCTGTGGGAAGGAGGGAGAGGTTGGGAGGGTCGGGGAACAGAGGATGAGGAGACTTGTGAGGCGGCTCTTATATCATGGCGCAGCAGGAAGGAGGTGAGCGGCAGTTTTCTAAGAATGGGCGGGTGGTAACCAGGGATAGCAAGACCCTGCATGGGATGGAGATGGGCGCACGCAAGGGGAACAGTGAATGAGGTGAGTTGTGAGTTGCATTTGTAGGCGAGGCGCAGCGGAAGGGAGAAATAAAGAGAAAACGAAACAGCATCAACAAGAATGGTCATGTAACGGCAGGTGGAGCTACTCACATGTACTCATCCTCGTTAGAAGCTTTTGCAGGCTTCTCATCCCCCTCCTGCGTCGTCTGTTGTGGCTTGGGCACAAACCGTTGCTTCAGCATCAGCAGCTGTGTACTCGTGCCATTCCATGCCATCACATGCATCAGATGCCACCACATGCCATCCGATGCATCATATGCCATCACATGCCACCACATGCCATCACATGCCATCACATGCCACCACATGCCATCACATGCCATCACATGCCACCACATGCCATCACATGCCATCACATGCCACCACATGCCATCACATGCCATCACATGCCACCACATGCCATCACATGCCATCACATGCCATCACATGCCACGACCACATGCCACCACACGCCATCACAAACCATTCCATGCCATGAGCTACATGCCATTCAAGCAGCCACCACATGGCATGCAATGACATACAAAAGTCATATCATGCATGGACGTGATACATGCATGATGCGTAGCATAAGTGCCATACATGCCAAGCAGTACAGGAGATGCATGTTGAAGCAATGTTGCCCCAGTCAAGCCACAGAGGATAAGTGGTTGGGGAAGAACCAGATGACTTTTCAGACGTCCCAAAAGTCAGAGGAAATGCATCGTGGTTCGGGAGGAACCAGTTGACCTTTACCGGTACTCTTGGAAAAGCATTCAATAGCAGCAGCATAAAGGAAGGGACTGGACAAGGACATGCCTGAACACGCATGCTCAGGATGGGCATTGCTGCCAATACGGAACGGAGACAGACACAAGCTGAAAGGATTGATCACGAAGGGTCTACAGGTCACAGCTTTACAGCTGTCATCCAAACTGGATGCTTACCATTCGCTCAAACAACAGTCGTTGGAGCACATGTGGAATTCTCTACCTAGACGACCAACCACTAGATGGTCCAAAACGAGAAGTTACCCCACCTTTATGGGTCCTTTCCCCGTGGCTGCTCGAAGCGCCGTAGTCGCATTTCCCCCCGCCGAATACGCAATCCACTTTAGATAATCCCCCCATCCAGACTCCAGCAGCAGAGGATCCACGTCAGCACTCATTTCATCCCAGAGATCTTCGGCTGTCCCCGTGGCACCTGATCCTCCGGAATCGACGGGGACTTTGTGTCCATTGCTCGAAGCTGAATCTGCCTTTAGCGCGGATTCAGGTAACGAATCATCCTCTTTATCATCATCAAAGATTCCTCCAAACGAGGAAATAAGCCATCCGAGTGACTCTGGAACGCCTCGCTTGGCTGGCGCATTCGAGCCCTGAACTGTAGCACTTCGTGCGACGTCGCTTCCTCGCGACGACGTCGCCACATTCTCTGTCACTGCGCTTGAACATCCCTTCGCGGTCAGGATTACGGCAATGCAGAGCAGGAGGAGGCTGCAGCGGCGTCCACGGCGAGCCGTCACCGCCATAGCTTGCAGCAGTGGGACCCGCACAAAACAGATTCGGAATTCTTGATTCAGGAAACCACGACGATTTGAAAAAAGTTGAGGTGATTCCAACCAGGGCTGTCGATTGCTCTGGGGCCAGAACTTGGAAGGCTGAGCTGCCCAGAAATTTGCCCTTAGATTTACGTTTTGGGGCCAAACTCACCACTTGAAATCAGGGCTACAAAGTGTCATGCACTTTTGCTAGACAAGAGACACCCTGGATTTTCACTGTCCAACCAAAGGGTGAGTTCTGGGACCTCTCTAGCACTAAGTACTCCCTGGCCTACGCTGCATTCCCCTTCCTTGTTGCGACCAAAGGCAGAATCTTGAGGCTGTTAGCGGACAGAAAACTGAAGGACTGACATTCCACGCAGAAACCTACGGTCTGTACTAAAAACACTTCAGGTTCTGACCTGCTGTTCAGGTTCTGATTTCGAAAAAAACAGTTTAGGTCCTGACCTCGAAAGTTCACAGAGTAATCGAAACTGGCTCTGGGAAGAGTTATACTGCACCTGGAACTGGGATGATGGGAAACGGGGCGGGTGGGGAGAGGGGAGGGAGGACGGCGGGAATCAGTTCGAAGGGGAAAGGGCTAGTCCCAAGACTCGTACTTGAAATCCGGGTTAGCCCCGAGCAAAGCACTTTAGGCAGACGTGCTGACCTGAAACCCAACCCTTAAATTCGGGGACCTAGGCCGAACTCAACCCTTAATGTTCAGGGCTTAAGGGCATTTGCCCTTGTAGCGACAGCCCTGATTCCAACCTCCTTACGAGTGCATCCGATTTCAGAAATGCAAACAACCTCCATACGCGGAAGCGGAAGATTTGAAATTTGGGAAATATTTCCTATCAGTTTCACATACAATACATCTCCACCTTGTGAATCTCCCATACATATGCATTGATTTATCGCTACAGCATCTCGCGAAACCAATCAGCGTAACAAAAAAAATAGCCACCTCCTACTTAGAGTTCTCGATGGATCTAAAAATTATCTCATACAAACTAACACAAATTTCACCTGCAATTAGCAGGATGATAATCCACTCAAGCGTATCCGACTTCCGGTTTTGGAGGATATCCAAGAAGAACCGCACATTGTGCTGCCAAACAAGAAATGCAGATGGAAAAAGAATCGGGCACAAAGCAAACCAGTTAGGCATCATACAAAGCAACCAACTGAGAGCAGCAGCAGCACCACAAACACACCAGCAGCGGGAGTAGTGCAGCAGCAGCAGCAGCACGAGAGGGTGGTATATGGTAGAGGGCGTCACCTGGATGATGTTGAGCTTGAAGTCGAGGCTCTCAAAGCGCTCGTCGAGCTCAAAGTCGTCCCGCAGGAACTCCCAGATCTTGGAGTACTCCGCATGCCGCCACGCCGTGTCAGATCTGGCAGGGCAAACAGTTCACAAATATGTGTTTGCAAGGAAGCAATGCTTAGGATCCAAGCAGAACTACAAGACTCACCTCTCCAGCAGCCCTATTCTGAGGATGACGTCAGCCAGGGTGGTGTTGGCGGCAGCAACGAGCTGGAAGAGCTTCTTGCGAGTCATGGTGAAGGTGCCGCTCTGCTCCATGCCCCGGTTCAGCTCACTGAACGTGTTCACCATCTCATCCACCTGAGGGCGGGAAGACGAAGAGGGATTAGGGAAGGGGGAAGGGAGAAAGGGGCCTGAATAGGGGTGATGGTGAGCATTCCGCTCTGCTCCATGCCTCGATTCAGCTCACTGAATGTGTTCACCATCTTGTCAACCTAATAGCGGGGATGAACGGAGCACGGGAAGGCAGGGGAGAGCTGATTGTGAACTACGAACCTCTGCGCGTGCTCTCCACCTGCAGCGGTTGACACCAAGATCCCAGACGCACCCACGACGCAACAACCCCTTCCACCCAGCTTCCAAGCTTAGAGGTCCTTTCAAGGTGCCTCAAAAGCCACCCACCACCACATTCAACCCCACTGCACCCACCTTGCGTGCGTAATGGTCCAGCGCCACGCTCTGACCGAGGATGCTGGAGATGACTCGGATGTTGTTCACGTCCAGCTGCCTCACCGCCACGTAGTCGTGCCCCCCCTCGCTCCACCCCTTGAGACCCGCCCGCGCGATCACACTGTACTCTGTGGCATGGGAATGGGGGAGCACAAGGGGAGGAAGGCAAAAAGGGACAAGTAAGGGTCGTCTACTGCAAAGCTGCCTCACCGCCACGTAGTCGTGCCAGCCCTCGCTCCACACCTTGAGCCCCGCCATGCTATCACACTGTACTCTGTGGCATGGGAATGGGGGAGCACAAGGGGAGGAAGGCAAAAAGGGACAAGTAAGGGTCGTCTATTGCAAAGCTGCCTCACCGCCACGTAGTCGTGCCAGCCCTCGCTCCACACCTTGAGCCCCGCCATGCTATCACACTGTACTCTGTGGCATGGGAATGGGGGAGCACAAGGGGAGGAAGGCAAAAAGGGACAAGTAAGGGTCGTCTATTGCAAAGCTGCCTCACCGCCACGTAATCGTGCCAGCCCTCGCTCCACACCTTGAGCCCCGCCATGCTATCACACTGTACTCTGTGGCATGGGAATGGGGGAGCACAAGGGGAGGAAGGCAAAAAGGGACAAGTAAGGGTCGTCTATTGCAAAGCTGCCTCACCGCCACGTAGTCGTGCCTGCCCTCGCTCCATCCTTTTAGACCCGCCCGCGCGATCACACTGTACTCTGCACGGTGTGCACAAGGGGGGGAAACCATCACAGAAATGCCAAAAACACGTGACAATCAAGGCAAAGTGAACCCACCATTACTGTGTGCCTCTAAACAGCACAGCATTATGTGACTATATCGAGGTCAGAGAAACCCACCGTCGCTGTGCGCCTCCTTGAACGCCCCAGTGCAGTGCTGCGTGACAATATCGAGGGCGAGCGCCTCCTCTGTGCGGTCAAAGTTGAAGAACACGACGGAGCCGTAGTGGAATGCCACCATGTAGCGCTCGGGCGCTGGCACACATGCCTCCATGCCCTGGTGGTGGTGACAGGGGTGTATGGGCATGGGATGCATGGAAGGAAGGGAGGGGTGCATGGAAGGGAAGACCACGGACCCGTAGTGGAATGCCACCATGTAGCGCTCTGGTGCTGGCACACATGCGTCCATGCCCTGGCAAAACAGACGGGCATGGGATGGGATGTATGGTAGGAAGGGGAGGTAGCAGGGTGGGGGGCGATAGCACGGAGCCGTAACGGAACGCCACCATGTAGCGCGCTCAGGTGCCCCACCACACATGCCTCCATGCACTGTGCGCCGCCAGCGCCGGCATTTGAGTCGACTCAAAAACCGACTCATCACAAATGGAACGCCACCATGTAGCCAATGGAGCGCTCAGGTGCCCCACCACACATGCCTCCCTCCATGCACTGTGCGCTGCCGGGCCGGCATACAATGCAGAGGAGTGGGCCCTCCGAGGAGACAGAGAGTGTGGACATGCAGACGATTGCCATCACGGTGGATGAAGTTTCGGGTATGGACGGGGATGCTGGCAGAAAAGCAGCAGCAGCAGCAGCAGCAGCAGCAGCAACAGAAGCTTACATGCATTGCAACAGCCAAACGCCTCTTCTCAACATGCAATGCCAGAAGCACCCACACCCCACTGACACGCCACCCACACACACACCACTGAAATGGCACTCACGGGTTTGGAGAGTGCTGCATGGAGGGGAAGAGGCAGGGAGCGGTTGGGGAAGCGGATGATGACATTGTTCTTGGCGGGCAGCAGCTGCATGCCCCCGAACCCACTGGGACCTGCCAGCTCATGGCACACATTCGGCATGCCAACACACGCACAACACCCTCGGGACATCTACACACAGCACCCACACCACAGGGCACTCACAGGCTTGGACAGCGCAGCATGGAGGGGAAGAGGCAGGGAGCGGTTGGGGAAGCGGATGATGACATTGTTCTTGGCTGGCAGCAGCTGCATGCCCCCGAACCCACTGGGACCTGCTAGCCCCCTCACGTCCAGACTGGCAGCGGCAAAGTGGGATGGATGGGAGCAAAGTGGGAGATTCTTGAAACACCGCACAGACAACATACTAAACCCCAAAACCCCTGTGGGCCTCACCCGCACCCTACTTCGTGTATATAGAGATGAGAATTCAGGCAGGCACATACAGAAGATGACAGTGGACTAGGATGCAGATGGAAAACAATGGTGAATAAATGTCACCTTAAAACCGAAACCCTGAACCTCCGACAGCTCGGCTTAAGAGCAGGCATGGAGCATTGCAAACGCGTGCTGGATGTAAAATGGGTAAATGTATTTCGGTTCACGAGCATAAACGCTCAATTTTTAAGAGTTAAGAATATTGAGGGTTTAAGAGTTAAGGTACCTTCTTGCCACGTAGACTGCCTTGACTGGTATGAACTGATCCGGTTGCTTGTTGCCTGCTGGAACAACACTGCCGTTCGGAGGGGTGGAACTGGGTTGACTGTTGAGACTGGGTTGACTGTTGAGACTGGTGGGGCTGGTGGGGCTCGTTTGACTGGCCTGACCGTGTTGAAGCGTGGGGCTGGTGGAACTGGTTTGACTGCTTTGACTGCTTTGGCTGACGGAGCTGGAGCTATAACAACTGCTTGAAGTGCGAGCATGGGTTGGCGCTGCAGAATGACTTGAGAGGACAGGACCAGGCGAGCCTGCTGTGCTGGTGTGACTGGGAACACTGCTAGCTGAAGTCGTGAAGGCGGCTCTCTGGGCCACGTGAAGGTGCTGCAGCCAGTACTGCTGCTGCTGCTGCTGCTGCTTCTGCCAGTGCTGCTGTGGAGAGGCATGCGCAGCAGAACTGGTTACAGAAGGCATGCGCTGCTGATGGCAAATGTGACTCCCGATGAATCTGGACACCTGGCTTGTCGACCCTTGGGATCTCCAGGGTTCTTGAGGGCCTTCAAAAAGCGATTCGACGAATTTGGACACCTGACCCGGCGTCTCTGGAGATCTCCATGGCTGCAACTGCTGCTGCACTGCCTGCTGCTCGACGCATTGAGCTGTCTCAGAACTCAGCGACTCCCGCAAACTAGTATCTGACAAGGCTGTATCTGACGGCGCTCTCCCGTGCGGCAGCCTTGACGCCCCGCATCCGTCGCTCTCGAGTCCAGCCCGCCATGCTGTAACGCCGCGCGTTCCGGTGTGAGAAGCCTCGTGATGGTGATGACGAAACGAATGGAGCCCGTCGCGAGCCAGCCTGGCGATGCCATGGCGGACCCGCAGGAAATCGACACGTGGCATGGCGTCAGCGTTGCCACAGGCGGTGCTGAAACGTGACGAAGGGTCGAAGACGAAGCAGGATGAATCCTACAAGTCCTGTTTACGGATCAGCGAATCACGGAATTACAGGTCGCAAGATAACAGGCGTGGGAGTCGAGGGTGGGATGCTGTCATGGGATGAGGCAGAAAATACATGAAGACGCAAGCTGAAATGGGATGCGTTTCTGGCGCTGATCGTGCGACGGAGTGGAGGGAGGGGAGATGATCGTCTGAGACGCGAGGCGCAAGAGAGCGAAGATAGCAACAAGGACGGCTCGTGCTACCACCAAGGATCAATGATGAGAATCCAGCGAAAGAAGTGCGATCGCGGGATCAATGGTAGAGATCGGCGGTGCAGAATCCCCTCCCTGCAGCTACGCGGAGGCAGGCACCTTACAACAGCAGCTGCGGAGCAGCAGCCATGGCGTCTGTGGAGTTGCCGAGATGGTTTTTGGTGATAGGTGTTTGACGGCGATCATACGCGATATACGATGCTTGGCTAGTTTTGAACATGTGTTGACCGTCATTCCTTGGAAGTTGAAGCAAAACTTGCAACAGCGCTTCATTTAAACTTGCCCAACACTGGAATAGCGGGAAATAACGGTGCAATTTTAGGATTGATTTAAAGGGGGACTGAAAATCGAAATACATTTTGCATGGCAACTCCATTGTAGGTTGCGATTATTTCAAACGTTCTAGCAGCAACGCTGGCTGTAATCTATACAAAACATGATCTTCTGTTCCCTTCTACCTAGTCATCCCCTCCTCTTAGGAGGGAACAGATAGCCACTCTTGATTAATTCTATGTGCAATGCATACTGCACATGTGCACGGATTTTTCCATGGCTAGGTGGCCATGGCAGTAGGCCTCCAATCCATCGCATTCCACACCCAGAACTGACTGTCACCTCACCACCGCGCACCACGTCAACCATAGCTCTCATCCTCCAGGAATTTCTCAAACTCGGTGCCTTTGAGCTTCGCAGCCACGGCATCGTAGTTCTCGATCGACTCCCTCAGTGGCCGCGTGTGGATCTTCACCTGCTTGCTCGTCAGCTCCTGCGCCGGCACCCCCAAGAAGCGCTGCACATTCTCCAGGATCTGAAGTGGGAGAGGGGGGGGGGAGGAGGGAGGGGGAGGGAAGGCGAGAGGGTGAGTGTAAGAAAGAGAAAGGCTTTCTAATCAGCACCGTGCCGGCACTCCAAAGACGCAGTCTCCAGGATCTAAATGGGAGGCAGTTGGGGGGGGAGGGAGGGGTGAACCTGGGGAAGGTGAGAGGTAGTCAGTGATTGAGAGAGGGCTGGATGACTGGCGGGGAAGAGGGTTGAAGGATATGTGTGAATGGAGGGTGGGAAGATGGAGCTCGGAGGGAGGAGGGAACAGGGAAGGCGGGGAGGGAGGGAGGGAAGTTGGGGTTGTGGAGTGACAGAGGAGGTAGAGGGGTGACGGGGAAAGGGACCAAGATCTACCAAACAAGGTTATTCCACAACAGTTATGATTGACTGACAGAGCATATTCGAGCAGCATTAGCAAATAACTGGCAAGGTTGGCAGCACTCACCGTTTTGTTCTTGACCACGTCCTCGTAGTACACGAGCATCCGTCTGGTGCCATTGAACGCTCTCAGCGCGTCGTCCACCATCTCCTGCACGCGCTGCAGGTTGCCCTCCAGGTGCTTCGCGTTCACGTTCGGCCGAAACGTCGCCAGCTTCTCCGCCTGCACCGTTGGACGAACGCACCCAGGGGTGAAAAAACGCAGGAACGTTGGTTACACTAACGAAGGTGGCATGCGGAGGAATGGCAGTGAATGCTGGTGGCAAATACATTCTTTTACGTCAACTAAACAATGAATGTTGGTGCAAAATAGCGGGGTTGTTTAGGACAGCGAGGGGAGGGAAAATGTCAGAGAGACACAGAGAGAGAGCGAGTGATTAGTAGCTGGGCTAAGGGTGCTTCATGAGAGGGAGGAGGGGAACGGAAGGGCAGTGTGCGGAAGGGGTTAGGGCAGGGTGAAGGGAGGTGGGGTGTGTGGTGTGGTGTGGAGCAAATGGAAGGGAGAAAAGGAGATCTGATTGAGCGCACGACGCACCTCTTCTTTGCTATGCGTGTGCGACTTGTGCACTCCCACTAGCTGCGTCTTGCGATCGTACGCGTTCGCCAGAATGGAAATCAGCCGCCGCAGCACGTTCTTCCTGATCAGCAGGATCACGGACACGTGGTGCTTCTTGAAGTACTCTGCCACGTCACTGCTGAACTCCATCGCGCCCTGCGGAGCCAGAGCCAGCGGAAGTAGGCCCGCGGGAGAGGGAGTAGGAGAGGAGGGAACAGGCGAGAGAAATGAGTGCCGGGAGACCCACGAGGCAGCAGGAGGTGGGAGGAGGAAGTAGAGAGGAGGGATATCGGAGGAGAAGACGGAAATGCGGGACAAGGAGTTACTGGGAGAAGAATTATGGACAAGCCAAGGACGGGTAGGACGGCAAACCCCTGTGCTGATTCGTCAACCTTCCACCCACCTCCCTCGTCCCTCCCTCCCACTCTGATCTCTTCAGACGCATGTCTTCCCCTCCTGAATTACCGTCACTTAGCCGTCACTCCCTCACTCCCTCCCTTACTCTCTACGATCCCTCTCCCCACCCATCCCATCTCCCGCGCCCTAACCGCCCCGTCCTCCCTCCTTCTCCAATCTTCCTTCCGTCTCTCGTTTTCCTCCCTCGCTAACCTTAGCCTCCTCTCCGTTCTCGTCCTTATTTCCCTTTCCCTCCTTTCGTCAACTTTTTGCCTTCATCCCTCCCACATCCGCTCTCTCCTCCCCACCAAGATAAACATGTATCTCAATCCAACGGTCCCCCCTCACCTGGTTGAGCATCCATTTGAATCCGACGGCGCTCGTGCACGAGTTCTTCGCGGCGCTGTTCGACCAATCCAGGTTGTACACGCGGTCAAGCGTCTCCGCGACCGCCGACGCGTTTTCGCGACGCGGCCTGACTATAAATATCTCGCCGTGGCTACTAATATTCTGGTGGGAGTTTAAGAACGTCTCGAACCACCCGCTGCCGGACCGCTGCATGGAAAGGATCACGAAGTTGTGCACGGGTTTGCATAGGCATTCTCCTCGGCTGTAATTAAGAGGGTTGGGATAATGTTGACCGAACCGCTCCACGTCGCCATATTCTACGTCCGGAATCGCGGGACATTTCTCTAACTCCCTCGAATCTGCTTCTCTTTGCGCCTTCCGCGCAGCTTCCTTCTCCTCCTCGCTTTCCTCAGCAGCGAGTGAGCGGGACGGCGAAGAAGTCGAAGAGGAGGAAGAGGAGGAGTGGGGAGAAGACGAGGGAGTGTACGGGGAATCGATGGGAACAGCTTCTATGGATAGCGACGCGAATAGGTCGAACGAGGATGCGGTGTGTGATATGGATTTAATGCACAGCGATAGGCCACATATGGCCAGCAGAACCACTGTGCTGACTTTCCAGAAGTAGGAACTCCGTCGAGGGATTTTAGCTGGGGTTGGAGAAGGAGGAACGACCATCATAATGTCGGCTAACGAGAGCATCTGCAACGGGGATGGAAGGGGAGACGAGAATTGGATAAGAAGGCGGGTTAGCGGAAGCACCTAATCGCAACGCTTGAGGGAACCACGACAGCGGGAAACGAAGAAACTGAGATATCCCATGGTAAGGAAGCGTTGAGACGACTCATTATCCACTCAAGGCACTTGCTGCAGGACAATCATTAAAGGCTGGCGCAGAAGCGCGGTTACCTTACTCGTTGTGTGCCAGAAGAAGATGGAAGTAGAAAGTATCTGCGCTCAGCGAACGTCGCAACCAAAAAGCTTGAGTCGGCCTGTTCAACGTCGAAGGTCCTAGGGTTGACCTAGTCCCGGAAATGATCGATCGAGCCTAACGAGTCAAGATCGCGAATAATCTGCCGTCGTTCGTCGAATTAACTGGTCGAAAAGCTGGAAACAAGATGATAAGGCAAATATAGAATACTGCTGCACAAGCAATGCTCTGAGACACCAATAGCCTTACTCAGGACAATCACAAAAACAAGAGGTATATGTCTTCGCAAGGGAACGCATCTCCTATGTATAAGTATTCTCAAACTCGAAAGAGTTCATGCAGTAAAACCAACGCGTTCCGCCGCCAAATACGCAGGGGTGAAAGAACTAGCACGAGGAGCCGCCTCCGTACAAATACCGGAGGTGACGAGAAAAGGCCAGACGTAGATTCATGGGGTCAAAAACTCGGAGATGCGTTATGTGCAAAGCAGGTATGTGTTGGCTGGCTAGGAAACAGACCAGGGAGCATAGCAGAAAGCGGACGCGAGATGGCAACCGATTACAGTACCGTAGACCACACAGAACATTTGGCAAGGCATTTTAGGGGCGGGGAAGGGTGGAACGCGATCTCCTTGCACGGTTCTTGTGCCAGAGCAGCCCAGCAGGTTCTGGGTCAAACTTGGCGGGGATGTCGGAGGGGACGGAAAGCTCGGAATGTGGCCTCGGGAGCGGTTTGGCTGGCAGCCTAGGTAAGGTAGACTGGTTCGGTTTCCTCCAGGTGGCCCGACTGCGCAGAGGTCCCGAGGGAATGGAGGTTCGCGTTTGACCCAACGGACAAAAAAAGAATCGAGGTCTGGTACTCGTTACACACATCCGCGATTGTTATGGTGGACCGCTGTCAGATGGATGTCAGGTATGGCAATGTCGGCGGGGATAGGTTCGGAAGGCTACCTGTCACGTTCGGACGTCAGGAGATACCTGACAAGCCCAGCAATCCCTTGATTTTCACGGAAACGGCCGAATCGCATAAGCTGCTGCCCACCACAGTTTCAATCGCCGAACCTCGATGACAATTAGAACCGTACCGAACCATACTAGCCACAACATATGTTCAGGTCAATCGCCAACAACGGGCGGCATCGCGTCCTGGGTTTGTGTTGAGAGGTTGGATTCAAGCTCGAACATACCCGGCCCCTCCAGAAACAACTTTGTATATTCCAAACTACCTTAAACAGCAGCACTCAAGCCTGAAAATGACATCGACTTTGAGAGGTGATAGGAAAGCAACTTTTGTTGGAAACAACAGGGTCACATGGTTTTAGGCGAGGGTTTGGGAGAGGGGTTTTGGGCACTCTGGGGGAGGTGGCAGGGCTCACTTCAAGTAACCTCGGGGTGCTCTCTTTGTAATGGAGAAGTGCAAACTCTAAATCCCAAGTTCGAATAGGGAACTGAACGCATGTTTGAAGGAATGACGCTTGATTTTTGCAAATATCAAGAAAAACCTGACACGAGGGTGGAGTGTGGAGCAAAGTTGGAGGACAGTTCAGAGGCTGTAAGGGAATTACGTTAAGTGGCTCGAAAGGTCACCAAAGTATATTGTTAACTACCTTTATCTCAGTCGAGGCAGGATGATTATCCTGAGAGTAGGCGACAAAAAGAAAGTGATGGAATATGGTAACTTGCAGCCCAGAAAGATAGAAAACGATGAATCATTATAGGCTACTCACTGCTTTTTATAAGACTTCATGGCATTTTCCCAAGTCCATTAATATGTATCTGGTGAGATCAGCCATCTCAGGTCAAAATAAAAAATAGGAGCTATTTTATTTCTGTTGTTGTGTGATATTCACTACCTGAACCATGGAGCAGAATGATATTAACAGGCTACCTAGGCATGTATTGAATAAAAAGTATAAGGGATCAAGCTAGGCCAGAAAGTTCCGAAATTTATTTAGCGGATAACCCACTCAAAGGAAGTCACGAATCAGTTCCCGCATGAGGTGTTACAATACGACACTGAATCAGCTGTCTTTATAACCTCTTGAACTATTCAACCTGGAAGCTGTACAACAGCCTTATTGTTGCACCCGAATAAAATCCGGCTGACCAGTGGCCGTGAGACACCGGTGCCACATGCGACCGTTAGGATCCACGGGCCGCGCGTGCCTGATAACTTCGGGGATCGGGATATACGCGTAGTGCGAGTTGACCAACCCCACGGTGATGCCGCTGTAGCCGGCGAACGCGCCGTGAACGGCGTTCTGCCCCAGCACGGCGCACATGACGCTGTCCGACGCGTTCGCGCGGCACGCGCGGATCATGTACGTCGGATCGATGTACTTCACGTCTGCTGGCCGTCCGATGGACTTGAAATGACGCCGCACCTGGATCATCCAGAATCAAGTCACGAGGGGGGAAGAGGGTGACAGGAAGCGGTGGCGGGAAGGCAAGAACGTCCCTTGTTAGGTCAATGGGAGATTTAGTGAGAACGAGAATGAGAATGAGAATGAATGAGGAACAGAAAGGTAATGAAACTGGTAAGGGGAACGGAAATGAGATTCAGAATGAGAAAGAGGCTATCCCAAGCAGCCTCCCCATCCCCACCTGCTTCAAGAGAAAGACCCCAATGTCCGACAGGATTGGATTTCCTGACGCATCCGTGCCGCCCTCCCCTTGCACCAGGTCCTGCATTCACAGACATTCAAAAAGATGGAATGCACGCACATTCCACAGCTGGGTTCTTTTACCTTCGCTGGAATTTGCATCATTGTCAAACAAGGGGAGAACAAAAAAAAAAAGGTTCTTTTTTTTCCTTCCATCCCACCTGCCCTACACTCTCCTCAGATGATGGCCTGGCCCTGGCGGTCCATGAACGACGACTTCTGAGTTGCCGTAACCGTTTTTTTTTTTCCTCAACTGTCACAATTCACATCCAACGTCCCCATGAAACCCCTCACCTGGCCTGCGCCCTCTGCGACGCAGATGATGGCGTGGCGCTGGCGGTCACGACGACTTCTGGGTTGCCTAGCCATAAAAAATCACCTCAACTGTCAGATTCACCTCAACTGTCAGATTCACCTCAACTGTCACAATTCACGTCCAACGTCCCCATGAAACCCCTCACCTGCCCTGCGCCCTCTGCCACGCAGATGATGGCGTGGCCCTGGCGGTCCAGGAGATACTCCAGATGCTGCAGCACCCCGTTGGGCCCCTCCAGACAGAATGGCACCTGGGGAGGGGTGAAAGAGGAGACAGGGGGAGAGAGTTGGTACTGCAGCAATTGCAACCTATTGGGCTCCTCCAGGCGGAATGGCATGTGGGGGATTAGAGCGAGGAGGCAGAGCCAGGCCAGAGGCAGGAAGGAGTGGCGAGAGGGGATGGAGGAGTGGTGTGCAGGCAGAGGGAACTTGGTGACCTGAAGAATGGACTTAGAACCCGATGCTGCTGCAGTACGCTGGAGGAGGGCTTATCCTGGCAGAATGGAGCTTGTATGGAGAGGCTTGTGTGGAGCTTGTATGAAGAGACAGGAGCATTTGAGTGAGGCGAATGAACGCATAAGGGGCACGAGCATGCTCAGTGGTGAGACGCCTCGAAAGAGCTGAGACAGCAAGGAATGTGGTGAAAGGTGTGACGGGCAGTGGGAGAGGAGAGATCAGCGGTGGATTACAGGTGTGAGATGTCTCTTGTCTGGACGGGAAGAACTGTGGGTTGCTGAACAGCAGCAGACTGGGCAAGGGATGTGTGCATGGCAAGGCATGGAGCTAACACACTGCCCTCCCTCCCTTCCTTCCCTTCCCTCCCTTCCCTAACTCCCCCCACTGCATACCTCAGGGATGAGTGCCATGTCCACCTGTCCGCTGGCCAGCGACGAGTGCATGGCAATGAAGCCACTTCATTGCCTTCCCTTGCTGCTACCACACCTACCGCATGCCATTCATATTCGCAGCGAGGGCCCGCCACGCACCTCAGGAATGAGCGCCATGTCCACCTGTCCGCTGGCAAGCGACGAGTGCATGGCAATGAAGCCACTCTGCCGCCCCATCAGCTTCACAATGCCGATGCCCCTGTACGCACTGGACGCCTGTCACATGGGGGGAGAGAGGACAGGGTGGGCAGGGGGGCGAGGGCGGGCAGGAGGAGAGGAAATGCGATGTAGATTCGACTTGGCATCATTGTGCCCACATCACATCATCTTCACGATGCCGATGCCCCTGTACACGCTGGATGCCTGCAGCAGTCACACCAGGGGCGAAAAGGGAGGGCAGAGAGGGGATGTGACATGAATCTGGCTTGGCTTGGCGTCACTCTGCCTATGACCCACCAGCTTCACAATGCCCATAATTCTGTACGGTACGCTTTGGATGAACAAATGGGGAGGAGTGGTAACAGGTAGCATGTCGTGCCAGCGACCCCATGCCCATGACCATGACCATGCCCATGCCCATGCCCATGCCCACGCCAATGCCCCTACCCATTCCTTCGCTCACCTCCACATAGGCGGCATGCAGCGCCCTCTGTGCTAAACCCAAGCGTCTGCTCCAGCAGCCCTTCTTCCCCCTACCCTCCCACGTCCCCCCTTTTTCCACCCCTCCGCATTCCTTCTCCCTCTCACCTCCACATAGGCAGCATGCAGCGCCCTCTGGGCCTCCTCCACAGCAGTGTCGAAGCCAAACGTCTGGTCCAGCAGCAGAATGTCGTTGTCGATGGTCTTGGGCACTCCCACCACTGCTACCTTCATACCGCGCTTGTAACACTGCTCACAATGGTGTAGGGTGTTGGGGAGAGGGGGAGGTAGAGGGGTGGGATGGGTGGGATTGGTGGGGTGGGTGGTATGATCCACACATCCGCACAGGCTGCTCTCTCTCTCCTCTCTCTCCTCTCTCCTCTCTCTCCTCTCTCTCCTCTCTCTCCTCTCTCTCCTCTCTCTCCTCTCTCTCCTCTCTCTCCTCTCTCTCCTCTCTCCTCTCTCTCCTCTCTCTCCTCTCTCTCCTCTTTCCTCTCTCCTCTCTCTCCATTTCCGCTTGTCTCTCCAATCTCTCTTTCCTCGTTACCCCACGCTCACCTCCTTGTGGATGGCCAGAGCTCCGGCGTGGGTGCCGTTTCCACCAATCACAAACAGCATGTTGATCCCCTCCTTCTGCAGCGATGGAAAGAGCAGGATGTGTGGGGATGGGGAAAGTGGGGAGAGGGGAATGGCCACAGGGCCAGCATGGGTGCCGTTTCCACCAATCACAAACAGCATGTTGATACCCTCCTTCTGCAGCGATGGTTTATTATGGTATGGAAAGGGTAGGAGGGAGAAGGGGAGGCGACGTGTACAAAGAGTAGTTTTGAGGCGTCTCAAAACAGCATGTTGATCCCCTCCTTCTGCAGCGATGGTTTATTGTGGTATGGAAAGAGCAGGAGGGAGAAGGGGGGGCGCAAAGTGGGAAGAGAGGAAAAAGGGGGTGGGAGAGGGAAAGGACGATTACCGGCTGAACATGCCTTTTCACATAACTCAATCCCATATCTTCCTTCCTCCCCCGGAGCCTCCCCCATCCCTCCCCCATCCCTGCCATCCCTCTCCCATCCCTGCCATCCCTCATCCCTCCCCCATCCCTTTCCCATCCCTGCCATCCCTCATCCCTTTCCCATCCCTGCCATCCCTCATCCCTTTCCCATCCCTGCCATCACTCATCCCTTTCCCATCCCTGCCATCCCTCATCCCTCCCCCATCCCTTTCCCATCCCTGCCATCCCTCATCCCTCCCCCATCCCTTTCCCATCCCTGCCATCCCTCATCCCTTCCCCATCCCTGCCATCCCTCATCCCTTCCCCATCCCTGCCATCCCTCATCCCTTCCCCATCCCTGCCATTCGCGAGGGGCTTCAACACCTGAATGGAGTCGACGATATCAAGGCTGTTGGAGCCCCCTCGCGAAACTCCCAGGAACGACCCGCCCATGAGGTGAATGTTGTCCACCACAGCGCGGTTCAGCTGGTGGGGGATGGGAAGCGGGATGGGAGAGAGGGAAGGAAGCCATGGGTTGCACAGTAGATGGTAGATGGGAGGCATGGCAGTAGATGGTTCGTATCCGTGGCCTCCCATCCGCGCATGAGGGGAGGGGCACATGGGAGGGCAGTAGGATAGGGAGGGGGGGAATGCATGAGCGGGGGCAAAGACCCGCGCATGAGCCCATGAGGTGAATGTTGTCCACCACAGCGCGGTTCAGCTGGTGGGTTTTAAGGGGGGTAGTGGCAGATGGGAGGGAGGGATGATGCTGTGATGGCAGTTGGGGAGTGAGAGTGAGTGAGTGTGAGAGCATGGACTTACAGGCATGCGTGAGAGCAATGACATGCATGAGAATGAGCAGGGTCTGGCGGGACTTGGGCTGACTGGTGTGTGTGAGGCACTGACTGGTGTGAGTGAGGCACTGACTGGTGTGCGTGAGGCACTGACTGGTGTGAGTGTGGTACTGACCGGTATGTGCAGGGAGGAATCGAAGAAGCCCCGGAAGCCATACTTGATGCCTCGGATGTCACTCACTCCGTACGTGTTGAGCGTCATCACCACCTGTGGGTAGAGGCGCATGGGGTGGGGCGGGGAAAGGATGTGGTTGAGTAGGGTGGTGTGGGGCCGGGGCGGGGGGACAAAGAATTCGTGTCATGTCAGAACAGAAGCCACACTTGATGCCTCATGTGTCGCTCACGCCGTGCGTGTTGAGTCTCATCACCACCTGTGGCAGCACAAGGTGTGGGGCGGGGTGGGGTGGGGTGTGGTGGGTGGGGTAAGGTGGGGTGGGAGAAGAGAGGGGAAGCAGGGAAGGGGAAGTGGATGGGGAGGGTGTGGAGTAACAAGTAATAAGGGCTGCAGCATTGTCAACTGGGTGACCTGTCGCTTGGTGACCTGTCGACGGTGACCTGTTGTCGACTCGGTGACCTGTCGACTTGATGACCTGTCGACTCGGTGACCTGTCGACTTGATGACCTGTCGACTCGGTGGTGAGCGGTTCACACTGCAGTGATGCTATCATCTCGTCCCCTCACCTGGCGGATGACGTCATTGAGCCCAGGGCAGAGCCCCCCACACGTCACCACAGCAGCGCGCACGTCCTGCGGCTTGAAGTAGATGCGCGGCCTCGCCCCCGCTCGCACTAGCCTGGGAAGGGAGGAGGAGGGGAGGGAAGAAGGCAAGGAAGGGGAAAAGTGAGGCTTGGTTCACACGTCACCACTGCAGTGTGAAAAGGTTCACAGCCTCGTTACCTCCCTCCATACCCCATACCCCCATACTCCCATGCTTCCATACCCTCATACCCCAATACCCCCATACCCCTTCCCTCCCTCCCTCAAAAATCCTGTCTGCGGCTTCGCAAGGCGAACACACCAGTGCTGCACGAAGTTGCAGTCCTCCTCCGATGACGCATCACTCCTCTCCCCTACTCTCCCCCTCACCCCACCTCCCCTCCCGTCACCCTCACACTTGTCTGCTACCTCGCAAGGCGAACGCACCAGTGCTGCACGAACTGGCAGTCCTCCTCCGATGACGCATCAGCCGTCATGGGATGCGAGTACTTGACGGTCTGCACGGGTAGGGGTAGTGGTGGGGAGTGAGGTGGTGGGACGGGAAGGGAGAGAAAACGATTCGACCCCTATAGAGGCGCTGTGCTGCACGAACTGGCAGTCCTCCTCTGATGAGGTATCGGCCATCATGGGATGCGAGTACTTCCCGGTCTGCACGAGCGGGGAGGGAGCGACGGGAGAGAAGGCGGCGAGAAGGGAAGGGGGCGAGGCCGGAGGAGGATAAGCGAGAGAAGAGGAAAAAAAAGCGATATGAAGGTTGGGTAGGAGTGGAAGGGGAAGAGAAGGGGTATGCTTTTGAGACGCGTCAAGAGTAAGGATGGACTGAGTCTTAAGAGGCTGTGGATTCAGAAGGCCATCTAGAGAGCGGTAAACGCTTATTGGAGCACCAAGCTGAGCAGGTGTCACCCCACTTCGAGCACGTGTCCGCCCCACCTTGAGCACGTGACAGCCCCACCTTGAGCACGTGTCCGTCCCACCTTGAGCACGTGTCCGCCCCACCTTGAGCACGTGACCGCCCCACCTTGAGCACGTGTCCGTCCCACCTTGAGCAGGTGACCGCCCTACCTTGAGCACGTGTCCGCCCCACCTTGAGCACGTGACCGCCCCACCTTGAGCACGTGTCCGTCCCACCTTGAGCAGGTGACCGCCCTACCTTGAGCACGTGTCCGCCCCACCTTGAGCACGTGTCCGCCCCACCTTGAGCACGTGTCCGCCCCACCTTGAGCACATGTCCGCCCCACCTTGAGCACGTGTCCGCCCCAACTTGAGCACGTGTCCGCCCCACCTTGAGCACGTGACCGCCCCACCTTGAGCACGTGACCGCCCCACCTTGAGCACGTGTCCGTCCCACCTTGAGCAGGTGACCGCCCCACCTTGAGCACGTGTCCGCCACCTTGAGCACGTGTCCGCCCCACCTTGAGCACGTGTCCGCCCCACCTTGAGCACGTGTCCGCCCCACCTTGAGCACGTGGCCGCCCCACCTTGAGCACGTGTCCGCCCCACCTTGAGCACGTGACCGCCCCACCTTGAGCACGTGACCGCCCCACCTTGAGTCCCACCTTGAGCACGTGTCCGCCCCGTGTCCGCCCCACCTTGAGCACGTGGCCGCCCCACCTTGAGCACGTGTCCGCCCCACCTTGAGCACGTGTCCGCCCCACCTTGAGCACGTGTCCGCCCCACCTTGAGCACGTGTCCGCCCCACCTTGAGCACGTGTACGCCCCACCTTGAGCACGTGTCCGCCCCACCTTGAGCACGTGTCCGCCCCACCTTGAGCACGTGTACGCCCCACCTTGAGCACGTGTCCGCCCCACCTTGAGCACGTGTCCGCCCCACCATGAGCACGTGTCCGCCCAGCACGTGTCCGCCCCACCTTGAGCACGTGTCCGCCCCACCATGAGCACGTGTCCGCCCCACCATGAGCACGTGTCCGCCCCACCTTGAGCACGTGTCCGCCCCACCTTGACACGTGTCCGCCCCACCTTGAGCACGTGTCCGCCCCACCTTGAGCACGTGTCCGCCCCACCTTGAGCACGTGTCCGCCCCACCGTGAGTCCCGCCCCACCTTGAGCAGCACTTTGTTGTTATCATGCACGAAGAGCGACGTGGTGCCTGCATTACCTCGAGCACGTGCCCACCCCACCTTGAGCACGTGTCCGCCGCACCTTGAGCAGCACTTTGTCGTTATCGTGCACGAAGAGCGACGTGGTGCCCAGCTCGTGCGTGTCGTAGTCCACAAACGACGCGCCTTTATCCAGGGGGAGGAGAGGACAGCTGCACGCAGGGCGGGATTGGATGCGTGGAGAAAACGGGAGGTGGTGGCAGGGATGTGGGAGAAGAGCGACGTGGTGCCCAGCTCGTGCGTGTCGTAGTCCACAAACGACGCGCCCTTGTCGAGGGGGAGCAGCGGACAGCTGCACGCAGGGGGGAGAGGGGAGGCAGGGAGGCAGGGAGACATGGAGAAGAGCGGAAACAAAAGAGGTGTTTGAGCTGACTCTCGATCACAATCGAGGCGTCCTTATCGAGTCGGAGCAGCGGACAGCTGTACGCAGGAAGGCCCGCAGATTATGGTGAGATCACTAAGAGCCTGTTCTGAGCGGTTCGATTCCCGTCTGGAAAATAGCAACTCAGTTTAGAGGCCCCTCCTCTCAATTGACGGAGATGGATTCTGGGAGATCCCCGTGAATGCGCAAAACGGCAGCCGACTCTTGCGGGTACACAATTGTGGCAACGTTGACCGCGACAAGTTCTTGTAGCGCAGGCGAAAAAGGCGCCCTTGTTGGCTCCCTGCACGTATACCTTCGGCCCGAGTAGAAGGCCCCGTGTTGCTGAAACCAAATGACTGTTTTTTTCTGTTTGAAGGGCGTGGATCTGTGGGTGACAGATATCTGGATCTGCAATCCTGGCGGTAATTTCCGAGTTGTTTTTTCATTTATGGCGTTAATTTTCAAGATGGAAAAATATTACAGGCGTAGAACAAGAGGGTGTTGAGAACATTTGCATACAAACCTTGTCTTGGTGCAAAACGTGGAGTAGAACGACGGTGAATCAGGATCGATATCCGTGATGTGCGGCAGCCAGTAACGAGTCCGCAGCTCTGCTTCTAACGGGTCCGTGATCTTATCGAGGTACTCTTTGAGAGTGGTTCGCGGGGGAATCGTCATCGTCGTATTCTGCGACGCCTCGAGAACCGTGTCGGACGGAGGGATGCGGCTGATCGTCATCGCGACTGTCGCACGTCGATTCCGCCCACCATTTCGAACCTCGCGAGGCTGCAACAGCTTTCGTAGATCAGTGCTTCTGCCGATGAAATCTCCACCGATCGGCGTTGCTTTCACGGCATATTTTGAATTGCAATTGATCGGGAAGGCGAGGGAATGAGTGGCGGTTAAAGCTCCAATGCAGATCTTCGCCATGGCGTCTTACTGTTGGCAATTCTCAAAGAAACTTGCGTGAACTCGTGGCTCGGCGAAAGCTCGCTTTTGTCCAACCTGTGCACAATCTCAGGTGGAGTCCTTTTAGCTTCTAATCAGACAGTTGGGGTGAAGCAATCTAGCAGGCGAGTTGTGCCGAGCGGACACTTGAAAACACGAGTTCAGAAATGCGAGTTCAGGGAGCGGGGGAAGATTTAGCTGTACTGGCAAATGGGTGCAGGAGAACCTAACAGCTCGAGACAAAGCAAATAATCCGGATGGGATGGATGGGTGGAATGGATTATGCTAGGGTGGAGTGAGCTGAGTTAAGGTGAAGTAGATTGGGTTTGTGTGGGAGCTGGGTGGGAAGGGGATGAGGGGCGGTTTGGGGAGTGAAAAGAGGAATTTACCAATGAGGTGTGTCCGATCTTAAAAGAGACGGAGCCGCGTGCGCTTCGTAGTTGTGTGGTCTGTTGCAGCCGAAAAAATTCACACGTGGGCATCTGCCCTTCGTCAGAAAGAACCACGCTGCCCAATCATCTCTGCCTTTTCCAAATTCGGCGCGTGTGAAGTGGAAAAGTATCCAATCACATCCTGAACACTGCCGCACTTTCTGGCCAATGCGACTGAGGCAATTGTGCTAGGAAATTGCTGTAATGTAGACGAATATAATTTCGCAAGCTAAAATCCATACTGGATTATGTTCGTTTCTAGGGGATACCTCAAGGAAGCCAGAGTCTCAGTTGTAGTGAGAGGGGGGGCTTATATGCATAATAGAAGAGCCGGTTCATATAAAAAAAAATGTGTACAGCCATTTTGACACACCCCCATAACTGCCTGCAACAAGAATTGTTGCAGTACACACCAACTCTTGCTGCAGGCAGTTTAGGGGGTGTGTCAAAATGTTCGTACACGTTTTTTACACAATCCAGAATTTGACGAAACCCCAAACCCGAAACCCTGCCTACTGTTGCAAAGCAGCATCATGCATTATCAGTCAGCATCGTCCTGCATCAGCATGTGACATTCGTGCAGCTCGTCCCACTAAACCATGGTCAGGAGGGCAGGGAGTGCAAACATCACTACCATCCAGGTTGTGCTTAAACGAGCAGAAGCCTTGGTCGTGTTCTGCATATAAAAGCAAACCACACATACGAATCAGAACAAAACCAGCACAAGGGTAAAGGACAACAACCACACAGTAACACCGTATCTCGAACAAAAAGGCATTAGGGTACTGAAGACACATACCACATCCTTGCCAATGTAGAGTGAGAGGTTGTATGAGGCGGCGGCAGCACCAGGGGCAGCAGGGGGGATGATGGAGGCATTGAGAGTGAGCGACTCCTTGGCAGGAGCACTCATGGAGAGAGCGGGGAAGGCGGTGGGTGTGACTGTCTGCACTGTGTTGCTGCTGAATGGGGTAGTTGCGAGCGACGCCTGAGTGACCAGGGTGATTGGGAAGACTAGTCCTACACCCACAGCCTGGAAAGTGTGAAGGGGACGGAAAGGGGAATGGATTGCCGCTGGTTACTGATTGGTGGTGAAGGGAAAAATAGTGCGTGGCAAGATTATTACCAGACTACATGGCAAGGGGAAGGCTGAGCAGAGTTCAGAGATCTCGATACTATTTTTGCACATGAAGTCCCTGACTAAGAGGTTGGCATTGGTTTCTCCAGTCCCTCACCTTGCTGTTGTTGCCTGCAATGAAGGGCATGGCGTCAAAGGCCCCAGGGAGAGGTGTGGGTCCCTTGGATGGCACCATGATGTACCCGATTCCCTTTATGGCCCTGGTGGGATGCCACACACGCACACGCAAACAGAAACGGAAGAGCAGAGCGAAACGCCGAGTCATGGAATGCATCAATACGGAGCACACAAAACGCAGGGAGAGAACCACAGGAAAGATATACTCACGAAAGACCAGAGTATACGGACGAGCGTATCGTCGCTACTCACAGGGGATCAACGGGGACGGAGGGGAGGCGCATGGTGGAGCCAGCGGGCTGGCGCACAAACATCTCCGTGTAGAGAAACCCCACCGACGTCCCGCCGCCATTCACCACCGGCGGACTCCCAAACGCCTGCGCCACCGTCACCTCAGCCCCCTCGTCCGTGGAGCAGATGTAACCGCGCAGCATGCCGTTGTCTGTTTCCGTGCAAATGCTGCCGATCTGGCTGGCCGTAGCCTCGTCGAGGAAGGAGAAGGTGAGGTAGACGTAGCAGGAGAGGCAGATGTCCGAGCCTGACGCGAGGTATGCGGGGACGGCCTGTTCAGGAGTTACTGTGGTGGTGTTGTCTGCAGCAGGGGGGGAGGGAGAGGGAGGTGGGAGGAAAAGGTGAGGTAAACAAAATAGGAGAGGCAGATGTCCGAGCCTGAGCGACGTATGCGGGGACGGCCTGTTCAGTGGTTACTTACTTTGGTGGTGTTGTCTGCAGGGGTGGGCGGAGAGGGAGGTGGGAGGGGAGGTAGGGAGGAGGGAGTGTGTGAGTGGTATAGGAATGGTGGGTCGAGAGAAGGCAAGAGGCTAGACGGGAGGGTATGATTTGCATTTTGCTGATGTTTGGTTTGGTATTGTTAGAGTCAATCAACTGCATACGTGGTGCAGAAGCATGAAATCCACGTGCATGCATGCATGCACAAGCAAGCATGGTAGTATCGCGGCGTGTTTACACGTACAGATGGGGTAGCAGGAGGAAGGGCTGAAGGACATGATAATGTGCTTGACGTCCGTGAGGGAGGAGAAGCCTGCATATTGATGAGGACGGAGGGAAAGAGAGGGGGGATCATATTGAAGGACGCTGTTTGGGGGATGTGTCTGGGCTGGGCAAACAGGAAAGCCACTCCCTGGGCGGCGAATCAAACCGGAGCGGCGAAACGAATCGGAGCTCATAACTTGAGGACTGGCATCCAAGCTGCTGTAATTGATGTTGCATGATGGCACTCACTGGACGGCAGAGCGTATTTTTCCACGATGTACTCCTGCTTGGGTGTAACCGACTTAATCCAGTCCGGTAGGTTCGCCTGCAGCAGAACCGCGCATCAGCAGAACCGCGCATCAGCAGAACCGCGCATCAGCAGAACCGCGCATCAGCCTCACTGAGTGAGGAAGGAAATTGCCAGAATTGGCTCAAGGTGAAGCATTGTCGTGCGCGAATAACTTGAAAACCAGGAAGGAATCAAAATTTTGACGACAATTGATTAGGAACTCGGGCCTGACATTATCACGACGAAGCATAATTGAACGAACGAACGAGCCAAATGCCGTGCTGACGAACAGCTTTTATGAACTAACCTGCACGCGGATCTGATTGCGATTGGGTCCGACATCAACGCGCAAGTAACCTCCGAAGAAGTTGGTCGTGAAATTTGCGTTCATGGTGCTCTGAGCCAAACACCTGAAAGACGAAAGCCAGTACAGTCAAGAAAAAACAGAGAGTAGCCAAACGAAGGAACGCGAGAAACTTTAGAAGATCTTCATTAATCCTACATATTTTACCCGGAGGGAAGCAGTGCGGAGGCGGTGATGAGAACGAGGAGAGCAATGCTCGACGACGACGCGAGCTTCATCGACGCCATGGCTCCCCACTGACAGAGCTTAGCAGAACCAGGAAGCAGAACAAAACTGCTGATGGAAAAATGCTGATCGCAGAATGAAGTATCATCAGCAGCGAATGTACGTATCTGTGCAACGAACGGACACAGGGCCCTGGTTCATGCATCCGTCATGGCGTCTGATGCTCGCTCATAATCCAAGCAGGTTGGTTTGGTTCGGTAAGGTAAGGAGGAGAGAGAGCCCCTGGTTGGTCTGGTTCGGTTGCCGTACGTCCTCGCTGGGACCAGCCGAGCACGTACGGCGGCACTGTTGCCGTGAGTGGCAGTGCCGCCCCATGCGGGAGATGTTTTGTCCCCTCCCCGCATACTCGTGGTACAGTAATCGCGTGAACGTATTAGGTAGTGAAGGCTATTAGCCACAAGTATGCGATCACTGTACCACGAGTAATAGATGGTAATTGCTAATAGCCACAAGATTCTAGGCAAAATCCCCGCTGTTTAGGACCCTCGATTCTCGACTGGTTGTCCTTGCTTGAGTGCTTTCGCCAACGATATTTCTTATTCGCATGCCTTCGTCGAGCTCCGCACGGGAGGGGAACGGCAGGCGATGTCGCGATTGAAGTAACCCTCCTCCCTGCCTTGTATTCTCCATAGCCCCTTCTACCCCCTGGTTTGTGGATAAGGAAACGTACTCAGGGCGTGGAACATTGCCAACGATCAATACAATGGTCGCCCCTACGATCACATGCGGCGATTTGCGAAGTTCGCCAGTAACGCAGGGCGATAAGGGCGCGTGTTTTTGGTGTAGACGTTCGAAAAAAAAGGTCGAACTTTTGCTGGTAACCAGCTTCGCCAATTTCGTCAACAAATTCGCAATGTAATCGTGTGTCCTAGCTCAAACTGTGTGAAAGAAGTTGGACACGAGCTGATGTCGACCTTGCATTCTAATTTTTTCGTTTACGTGAATCCAATCATGTGTTCATTTGCGCACGCACGAACGTTTGCGCTGTTTACGACAGTAACAATATAGAGTCTATTGTGTTACGAATCCGGATTCGGTCACGAACAACATGTGAATTCGGGTAGCCTACAAAAAATTATCGCGACTCTGGATTAACTGTTTAAAGTTGAACTCTGATAGTCGAACTTTGTTGTTCCATGGGCGACTCAGGCTTGTTAATGGTGCTCCTCGACCACCAAAAGTCGAGATGGTCGAGTCTAGGTCGACCAGAACTCAAATGTGAAAGTTCGACAAAAAAACATGAACTTTGCCCAAATTTTCAAAAAACACGCGCCCTAATCCCCACATAGAATCGTAGCCTTCAAGTGGCTTGCTCAAAATGTCAGAACCCCTTTGATCCGATCGAGGTCATTCAAGGTCGGAAGCTGACTGCACCACGTCCTAAGGAAATTCGAGAGACCCGAGTTCAAGTCCCAGCAACGGAACTAGCTTCTCGCATGGTGCCTGCCCTTCGCTCTGATGCGGAGTTAGCTCCCCAACACCCCGCAGCCCTCAACTCACTCTCTCAACGGCCCTGTTCTACATGCATGTGTTTCCGTTTCTAGAATCCTCTTGGTCGCTTCCGTCTATAGTCTGTTTAGGTTCATAATGGTCAGCCCGAAAATGAGTGTCATACCTGCTTGTTTCCATCCGAACCTAACGGAAACAGGTGGCTGCAGAACAACGTGCAGTGTGGAAACGGAAACGGGTAGACGGAAGGTGAGTACCCTGGTTCTCTGTCTAGCAATTTTTGTTTCCGTTTGGTTGCCAAGGGATACCTCCTTTTCACGGGAAGCAAAATGGCATCCATACGGATACAACTGTTCTGGTGCAACCTGTGCTCTGCCCTCCAAACCATGCAAAACTTCGTAAGCCAACCCCCTCTATCAGAAAGAGAGAAGTGATTGCACTAGGAAGATTGAGAGTACAAGTAGGAAAACCTAGAATTGTGTACCCCTTAAGACTAAACCCACTATAGCCTACATAACTATAACATATATAATGTTTGACACACCCCCATAGGCAAAGTGGGGGAGAGCAAAGGGGGTCACAAGACCAGTCAAGAAAGGCAAATCAAGCTCAGGGTGGATCACAAAGTCACCACACACTCTGAGCACAGGCAAAGGGCCACAAGGCCAGTTCACATGCAGAGGCATATATGCAACACAAACAGCACAGTGATCTATATCTAGCAGTGCAAACATGCAGGTATATATATATAGATCACAGTACAAGCAAAGCCTACAGCAAGTGAGGAAAAGTGGGCACAAGCCCTAGCAAAGTGCAGAAACGCTGATGATCACCAGACTGAAGTGCCTTGGTGAATATATCAGCAGTGTTGGCCTGAGTGGCCACGTAACGCAGACGAAGCTGACCACGCTGCTGCAACCCTCGAGCCAGGAAGTAACGTAGAGCGATGTGCTTCGTTCTGTGCTCCAGTCTGTGCTCCTCACACAAGGCAATGGCAGCCTTGTTGTCGACGTACAGCACTGGAGGAGAACGAGGCCGCTCTCCCAGGTCGGTCAGCAGGTAGGTGAGCCAGCGTAACTCCTGTACAGCCATGGCTGTGGCGTTGATCTCAGCCTCACAACTGGAGCTGAGAACTGAAGACGAACGTGTAGAACGCCAGGAAACTGAGCCAGAGCCAAGGCTGAAGGTGTAACCCTGTGACGACCGCTGAGTAGCCTGGTCGTCAACCCAAGAAGCGTCTGAGTGCCCAGTAAGAACAACTGAGCTCCTCCCTCCAAGCACGAGCCCCATGCCCGATGTACTGCACAAGTAGCGCAATACCCTCTTTGCAGCATCCCCGTGCACCTTTCGGTGCCTACCAGGAGCCACGTAGCGGGCCAGAAGGCCAAGAGGGTATGCTAGGTCAGGACGAGTGCACGTCATCAGGTACATGAGACAGCCAACTAGCTCTGGGTAAGGACCACTCGGCTCTACGGACTCATCCGAAGGCAGAGCTGAGAGCGAGTGACCTGTAGCCAGAGGAGTGGCCTGTGCTGAGGACCAGGTGAAGCCGAAGCGCTGAAGGACCTGCTGCACCATGTGTGACTGAGTCAGTGTGATGGTGCGGCGTGCTCTGTCCCGGGTGATCTGCAAGCCGAGGTAGCTGCGCAGTTCACCCAGGTCTGTGCACGTGTGTCTCTTCTGCAGCTCCGACTTCACGTGGGCGAGAGCCTCAGTGTCAGCAGTGGCAAAGACCAAGTCGTCGACGTACACGAGGATGTAGAACGGCGGCAGCGACGTGTCGGTGCGCAGAAACAGCGACGGGTCAGCAGTAGAAGGCGCGAACCCAAGAGCCGCAAGAGTAGTCCTCAGTGTGTCGTGCCACTCACATGGCGCCTGGCGGAGACCGTAGACCGGCCGCCGGAGGCTCCACTGGGTACCAGGGGGAAACGACCCAGTGAAGCCAGGAGGGCGGCGCAGCCAGATCTCCTCGTGCAGGCTGCCCTGCAAGAAAGCTGTGCTGAAGTCAAGAGAGTGAAGCTCGTAGTCACGCTGAGCGGCAACGTGCAGTAGCACCCGAAGAGTGGTCATCTTCGGGGTGGGGGAGAAGGTCTGAAAGAAGTCTACTCCCTCTCGCTGACTGAAGCCTCGAGCAACGTAACGAGCCTTGAAGACAGGCGGAGAACCTGGCGGCCGCTTCACCCTGAAAATCCACATGCCACTGACGATGTTCGCCCCAGGAGGGGGAACCTCGTCGACGTAAGTGCCAGTGGACTTCCAGGATGCCATCTCTGCGTCCATGGCTGACTGCCACTGAGAGGAGTACTCACCCGCGATCGCCTCAGCGTAAGAGCGCGGGGCCGGGATGTCTGGAGCATCCGGGTCTCCCTCAGGGGCAAGTAGCATGGACACGAGATGAGGCGCAGCGGCTGCAAGACACTCAAGGTCCTCCTGTCTGTCCTCAAGGACGTCCGTGCCTAGAGCACACTCACCCCCGACGGACGGAGGACAGACAGACTCAGACTCAGCAACAAGACTCGCGGCGTAGTCTAGACGACAGCGAGCAGCAAAGTCGACAAGCTCAGCAACCAGCTCAGCGACAAAGGCAGACGCAGCAGCAGACTCAAAGGAAGGGTCAGTGACAGCAGTGGCCAGGAGACGCGTGACAGTAGGACTGGCAGCACGAACCCGGTCAGACTTAGGGTCAGCAAGGACAGGAAGAGAGGACGCAGGAGGAGACGGCAGAGGGACACGCAGTGGAGCAGTGGAAGGACGCAGAGTCATATAGTGTGTGCCAGGGACAGGTGGAGGACGCTCACGCGGAGCACGACGACCAGTGCGAGCAGCACGAACAGGTGACACATGACAAGACTCAGGCGACACAGGACGAGACTCAGGCTCACGACGCTCTGTAAGACCGCCTGTCGGACCAGTGTAGGGAGAAGAACCTGGAAGTGGCGAGGCAGGCGGTAGCTGTGACTACGACTGGACAGGCGGAGGACACTCTAAGGAGGGAGCAGGACAAGGAGGAGGCGGCTGACCAAGAACCTGCTGGAGGAGTGGAACGAAGTACGGTCGCGGCCGTGCAGTGCCCCCAGAACTAGCAGAGACAGCACCAGAACCTCCAGCAGCAGCTCCAACTCCTGCAGCACCACCAGCAGCTCCAGTACCTCCAGCAGCACCAGCAGCTCCAGTACCTCCAGTAGCACCAGCAGCACCCCCAGGCCTCGCAGCTCCAGTACCACCAGTACGAGCACCTCGAGGACCAGTGGCTCCAGCACCTCCAGTGCCGACCCCAGGTTCAGCAGCAACACCACCTCCAGTAGGCTCAGCGCCTTCAGCTCGAGCTCCAGTAGCACCACGGAGGCGGCGAC